CAAGAGTCTAAAGTTTTCTTGTCTTTTGGCAATAAGCCATTCCAATTTCTTTTTAATGTATGTACTTCCTTATTTTTATTTTGTCATTTTTTCTTTGATCCAAATTTCATTGGTTATGCATTCTCTTTTAGTTCATGTCCTTGATAATAAATGTTCATAGCTAAAAAATCACTTTGAATATTTGATAAAATTAGGGTTTTCTACAATACAGAAAAAAACCTATTTTATCAACAAGTCCTTTGCTTCAGTCCTATTTAAATTATACAATATCCTATAATCTCTTTATTAATGGAAGAATTATTTGAATGGTTTAAAAATTGATATATCTAAAGGCTACAAGCAATGAGAGGTGTCCAATAGAAAATTGTTAGAGACCGTATATAAGACAAGGATTCAAGACCAAAAAATGGAGTGAGCTTGACATTAGAACAATAACTAGATACAAAGCAAGAAGGTCTTGATTAGACCACAAAAAGTGAATTATCAAGACTGAGGATCTCCTCAGCCTCGACTCCTATATATACTAGTTCCTAGAAAGCTTCTTGAAAAGTTTCTATAAGGCTTGGAAACAAAGCAAGCCTAAGATCCTTCTTCAGCAACTTTTCAAATCATCTAAAGCCTCCCAGAACCTTCGAAGATTTCTTATGAACTTCTAGAACTTTCTTAGAATCTATTAAAATCTTTTAGAATATTTTTAGAATCTATCAAAACCTTTTGAAACCTTCTAAGATCTACAAAAACCTTCTTGGAACCTTCTACAACCTCTTAGAACCTTCTTGAACTTTCTTTATTTGTATGTCCATGACACAAACTTACAACATTTAAGCCAATATTGCAAGAAAACCTACAAAGTTGGAGTGCAACATGGCTATTGTATCCATCGAGTACCAATAAGTGGTGTTCTTTAATAGAAATATCATCTTCTCTACAGATTCATCCTACAAAATGAATAATCCATGCTAAAAATAAATTTGAAGTCATCCAAGCTTGAGTTGGATAAATATTATTGCATCAGATTTGCACCTTTCAATATAATTTATTCAAAATTGATTTTCTTGGAAAATGCAAAAAGAAGATATGGTCTTATCAAAGGTATTCAACATAGTAAGATATGACAACCACTTCTATTGGTTGGATACCATAGACTACATGTGACACACTAGATTTTGCAATGACCATTCTACTACCATTCTTTCTTAAATATTCTATCCCTTGTATACAATGTGAATAAATTCTAAATGAATAAAAATGAATTTGAAAAAAAATCAAACAAAACCAAACTTGAGCAAAACAAAATAAAACAAATTGAATTAAAATATAACTTAAAATTAAATAAAAAAACTTAAAAATAAAAAAAATTAAAACTTGAAATTAAAAAAACTAATAATAATACTTAATAAAAAAATAATAAATAATAAAACTTCAAAGAATAGGAAAACAAATTGAGAGGTGGTAAATTACATGCTTGTACATCTGTTTTATTGCAATTTTAAATACAATAAGACAGATAGTAGTACAAGTTGTACAATGTCTTGAAGTTGTCATATAATATTGCTACATTTTTTTCATAAAGAACATGAGTTCTAGTAGATTTGAAGATATTAGATGTATGTAAAGTAAGCTCTAAATAGCAAATACAAAACCATTGCACCTATTGACTACGCATAATTCCATCATGGAATGGGATTGTTCAATCTTTACTAATTTCATAAACTTTAAATTTTAGAGCAAAATGTGAGAGGCTACATCTTGAATCACACATCTTTATGAAGTAGTCTACTAGTTGTGTTTCTTCTCCCATTGTAAATACACTCTGTGTGCTCTTACCTTGTCTTCTTATATATTTGTAGGACCAATCATGTGAATTAGACTACGAGGTATTATTCTTCTCTTATGGCTTTGATGGACATTTTATTGTCAATGCCATTGAGAGCACATTTAAGGTCTTCATTAATCTAATTACTAATCTTCTAAGTCCTTCTTCTACTAGCTTTAGATAGTTATCTCTCTTTGTTTATTCCAAAATATCCTTGTGCCATCTTAGCCTAGTCAAATTATAAAAAAAGAAGGTATTTTTTAACAGTATGAAAACTTGAAGAAACAAGTGGTTGATAACTAAAAGAGGAGAGGTTGCAAAAAGCATGTACTCCCCTTCTATGACTAGTCATGGAATCTTTAAAGTTGTCACTTCACTTCTTATTGACCTTAGGATTTGTTGTCTTGAAGCATGCACATATAGCTAAGAAGAAGACACCAATGCTAGAGTATAATCCACATTATTAAACATTCCCCTTCTAGCATGTTGTAGCCAATTGATACCAAGCACCCTCTCAAATTTTTGTAGTCCACTTAAACATGCATTTAGTGTTGACTATCATTGGAATTGTTTCTAGTTAATTTATTATGAGAATTATAGTACCTTTCTTCCTCACTAGATTTAGTATCGAAAAATTCTTCGTACCTAGCCAAATCCATAACACATTCCATATTAAAACCTACACACTTTCTACCATTTTCATTAAACAATGTTATTCATGGAGTACATTTTGAAAAAGGTGATTGGTATTAATTGCTTCAAAACAATATCTTAGATATTTAGATCCTATGCATTGGAGTATCTAAAATTTTCTTATATTTTGTTTTTAAATATCAATACTAATAGATCATGTTATATCCTTTGAACACAAATATGAAGAATAAATATAATGTTTAGATTTTATGATCTAAGAGTAAAATAATTTGCACAGAAGAGTGTTGCAAATCCGCCTCCAACCTTGGATCATGTGCAAGTTTATATGTATGTAAGTTTTATATTCTACTATGTTTAAACCTATAGTAAGCCTACAAATTTTTTTATAAAGAAGTATGTACTTTAATATATATGTATAATTTTTGTATCTTTAACATAGTAAATAATAAAAATTACAAATTATAAATTGAATAGAAATAATTTAATATTAAAAGAGGCTTTTTTATTTTAAAAAATAATAAAATTGATGTCTTTGGTTTGTCTTTTCACTAGAGAAACCAACACATTGTGTAGCAAAGTCAATACTTTCCAAGGCTTGCGATGTTAAAATTCTCATTTCTTTAAAAAAATCTCAGAACATGCCTGGCATTATTTAATTCGCACAACCAAAGTATCAGCACTTGGTCCAAACTCTGGATCATCAGAGGATGATGAAACTAAAAAAAATAAAAACATTCATAGGATCACAGCTTCAACGAGCTCATATTTTTGTTCATCTTCTCAAAGGATATGATTATATAGTTCATAAATATTATTTTGATTTGTTTTATTTTCTTATCATCTTCCCTAGTTTGGTTTATGTTTGTGGTAGAAAAACTCACAATCAAGGGGAAGATTCCTGATTCACTGCAATAGAGGAACACGTCTTTACACAACCATGTCGAAGCAGAAGACAACGAAAGCAACAACTGACGTGTGTTTAGAGTACGCAGTGCACACAGAGCGGCTAAAGGATTTCTGTAGCACTTAAAATAAAAAACTGATAACAATGACATATCAAAGAATAAAATAATTAAATGATAAATAAAAATATATTAATTAGTTAATTAATAAAATAATAATTAAATTGGTTAATTATAAAAAACAGATTTCTTCAACACAACTTTCATTGTAAAATTTCTACGATTTCCTCCATATTCTAATATCTACAATTAAAATTTAAGAGACTCCAGCAACACAAAATAGCAGCAATTCAAAATTTGAGTTTTGAAAACTACACCCCTTCCAAAGTTAGATGATCCAAACTGCCCACTAAGTGGACTACTTGTTACTTGAATTGTTTCTAGAAATTTGTTACCTCAAATGCAAATCTTTTAATTTATGAAATTTTTATTTTAATAAAAAATCATATATATATATATATATAGTTTTTATAGTTAGATAACAATCAATAATTTCAAAATCATACTTATTTTATATGCAACAAATTTGATATCTTTAATGTTTTTATTAAAACACTCTACATTTAAATTATCTTACAATGATATTCTAACTGCACAAAGTCATATGCATTTTGGTAAGTACATAACTCTATACAATTCATCTTTTATTATTTATACTAAAATAAAAATTATTTCAAATATATCTATTTTGTAAAGAAGAATAATTGCAATCAAAGTCAAACAATTCCATAAATCATCATTTTTGTATTTTTGGTTGTTTTTAAACTTCCACAAGATGAATAAGGATGCATTTTAGAAATGTTTGAGGAGTAACACAAGAATTTAAAATACAACTTGGAAGGAGCTAGTTGGTACAGAATTTGCATAACAATAAATTGAAAGTATAAGTTGGAATCATTAGATTAAATTATCTTCTTTTTTTTCTTTTTTTTCCTTTATTCTACAATAATGTGCCATAAATGATTTATTTTTATTTTTATTTTTTATAACCCAATGCAAACAATCATACATCATTTCACAGTTCACGGGGGAATTCTCCCCACAACAGAAATTCTTCTTACAAAGTGATTTGTGCTAATTATTTACAACACAATACACCCATCTTTCCAAGTAACCATGGATATCTACATTTATTTTTTAAAAATTTGTTAATACGTTACCTCACCTCATCAACACTAGATTTTCAATACTTTAAATATTCAAATTACCTAAGGCACATCTTAAACTCCAGTGGTAGTAGCTGAACACATCAATTTAAAAACAGAACACAAAAAAGCAAAACGCAAAAAACAAAAATGTCTTCCCATGCAAGTCATGTGACTCGCTTTCTCATTAAACATCAGTTTTATACAGAAAAAGAGGCACATTTAATGTACTTGTTATCCTGTGATACCTTCGGAGCTGTCACAGCACAGTGGTGAGCTCCAGATTTCACAGCACAGTGGTGAGCTCCAGATTCCACAGCACAGTGGTGAGCTCCAGATTCCACAGCACCAGTCACGTTGCTATGAAGCCTCAGCGAATCACATTCAACGCGGGCTTACATGGCTATAGAACATGTGCCAAGATGGCGCTCTTACGCTAGTGAATGGTCAAAACGCGACAGAGTCGCACTAGTTCGATGCTTAGCATTCCACAAATAGTGCTGAACCTTCCCTCATACGATAAATGAGCTGACCCAAGAGTCGTTTGCCGCCAAAGAATCCCGGAAAACACAGTTTGCGTGAGTGAATTAGTGGCTGTTGTGAAATCCAGCAACAATTGCTCACTGCACTTAAGCGACACGACTGGTTGCGTTTTGGAGCTCAATCCCTGCAGTGGCAGTAGAGTGCAACGGGCTTGTCTAAACAGCCACAAGTGCTGCAATGGCGAACCGTAATGTGACGAAATGGAGCCCTCGGGTGGCGCAAAACGCAGGCGCTGGAGCCATGGCAGGTGGGGTCGTGAGCCTTTGCTTGCATCCTGTTGATACTTTGAAGACGCTCGTGCAAGCGCGAGCTGGTGGCAACCGCAAACTCCTTCCCATTATGTCCGCTGTTATCTCTGAAAGAGGTAAACCTTTTATAGTCCATGCCTGTACGCTTATCCAGTGTCGTCAACTTCACAGTAATTAAGTTTCTAGGATTTTTTACGTAGATCCTTCTCCTCTCCTTGGATCTTGCTCGAGTGAGGACGTCTTATTTGCAGGTTTGGGAGGTTTGTACCGAGGTCTTGGAAGCAATTTGATTGCGTCGGCTCCAATCTCAGCTATCTACACGCTCACTTATGAAACCGTCAAAGCTGGTCTCCTCCGCCACATTCCAGAGGTACGGCTTCACGGACGTTGGAATATGTGAAGTGTGTTCTGAAGCTTCCGTTGGAATATGTGAAGTGTGTTCTGAAGCTTCCGTTGGAATATGTGAAGTGTGTTCTGAAGCTTCCGATCTCGCAATGTGGTGTCATGGTTGTCCGGGGTGAGGTGTGTTAAGATTTTGATGGGATTTTTCTTGGTAAGGAGGGGACGCCGTTGATGGTTATGAACCTTCATGTCAATTGAATGCAAACAGGATATGTCCGCACTGGCGCATTGCGTTGCTGGGGGATGTGCAAGTGTGGCCACCTCCTTCGTGTACACACCGAGTGACTTTGTGAAACAGCGGATGCAAGTGCACGGGTTGTATACAAATAGCTGGTACGGTTCAATATCCGGATGTTTCAAATTTGAAAGAAATCGGGGCGATGGGCTTGGTCTTTCGTTTACTAGCACGTAGTTTACACGAAGCGTGGTGCAGATTTTCTGCCACGTGAGGATTGCCCTCAAGCTTTTTCCAGCATCCCTCGGTCCGCATTTTGCCTGCAGTGTGACGAATCCGACTTACTGGTGTTGAGCAGTTGTTGTGGAATAACTCAGGCAAGCGCTCACTTCGATAGTGCAACAGGGAGGGTTGCCGACGCTGTACAAGGGTTGGGGAGCAGTGCTTTGTCGCAATGTACCGCAATCTGTGGTCAAGGTATGCAACTATCTCCTTGTCGAATGCAATGTTGGTTGCTTTTTTGTTGTTGAATCTAGGGGTTGCCCCTGGTGGTTTTCTTTGCATGGTAGTCGCGACTTTGGATTGGTAGTGTGTGGAGGTTCTGAAGTGTGATGGCGTGTGGTGTGGTGATCGCACAGTTCTACACATATGAGGGGCTGAAGCGCTGGATTCAACGAGACCAGCCTCGTGACACCCCTTTGAGCACACCACAAGCGGTAGGTTGCGTCGGGTGTTGATTTCGTTGTATAGTAGCTGACTTGATGGTGAATTACACGACATTGTTACTTTGTCACCTCTGGGCTGATTAGGCATAGTATGGAGTCTTGGTGGAGTGCCGGCAGGCGTGGAATGATCATGAGGCGTTTGTAGATTGGAATGAGAGAAAGAGCACGAACTGTAACTGGGTTTGTGGATGTGTAATAAAGGGCATGATGTGAGGACGTGTCTGTCTTGTTCTGATCCGCTGATTTTTGTGCAGCTGGTTGTCGGCGGTGCTGCTGGGTCGACTGCTGCTTTATTCAGTACTCCTTTCGATGTTGTCAAGACTCGGCTGCAAACGCAGGTTTTGAGCTGGTTCTGGAGTGACTAGTACTGCCCGCATTGCTTGTTTTGGAATTCGTGAGTGTTCCATGGAAGGGGATTCTGTGAGCATTTGTTCTTTGTCGAGCACATGGTAGCGTGGGTGCTGAAGCTTCAGGATGTGACGAATAGGATATGATCGACTTGACTTATCTGGTGTTGGGTGGACAGATCCCTGGGACAGCTCAGCAATACACTGGGGTTATTCACGCTTTCCAGAGCATTGTCACTACAGAGGGTGTAGCTGGATTGTACCGGTGAGTTGCATGCGATTTTGTTGCAACTCTAGGTTTTTTAGATACGAGATGGACTGAAATGGGTGCGGCCTTTATTTTTGGCGTCGACCATTCGTATGTTTTGGTTGTACATGATTGCTATGTTTCAGGAATAGGTATATTAGTCTCAGCAGTGCGCTCTGGCCATAAACTGAGGGGGGCATTGAAGTGGAAAGTGTCCTCCTTGATTTACTTAAGATTTTGCACACTTGCAGGGGACTAGTACCGCGGATATTGATATACATCACCCAGGGGGCACTTTTTTTCGCTTCATATGAGTTTATCAAGCGCGTCCTAGCAGTGAAAGTTCCGGGGCTTCCAGTGAAGACACCTCGGATGGAAGAGTACAAACGGCAGGTGGTACCCATTCCAACGAAGTGCAGGTGAAACGGAGCATACATCGTACATGCAGTAATTAATGATGTTATTATTATGCAAAGCAAGGCATGTCGAAGAGAAGCACAAGAGTTTGAGAGTGCTGGAGACAAGGAGGTTGGCAGATGAAGAGGTACCTCTGCATGAGAGTGGTATTTATTGAGTCCATGCGTCCAGAGGCAGGATTTGTGGAGGACCTTGACAGAACAAAGACAATTGCAAATGGGTCCGATCAGACTCCCTTCTAGCTAACCACATTGCAACTGCGAGTACCATTGTGACTTTCTATTGATGTGTAAAGGGAAATATCTCACACAGGATTATGAATGGATACCAGGCGGACCATGCTTTTTTGACAACGAGACTGAGGGTTTTGCTTTGAAGATAGGTGGGATGGTATGTTGGAATGTAGGTACTTAGTTAGTATGAGAAGGTAGTGTATTCTAATTAGCTTGGGTGCAATTCATTACAGATTTATTCATTAAGTATAGAACATTTTCTTTAATACTTGATAGAAGTTGACTACTTCACAGTGAGGTGGATAAAATAGGCACACCTATTTAACAAATGAAAGTAAAGGTACTTCACAGTGAGATGGATAAAATAGGCACACCTATTTAACAAATGAAAGTAAAGGTATTCATTTATGCTTATATGATCTATTAATAGACTTCTTCTGATCCATTTTCTTAATTATTTTTTTCTTAATGTGCTACATTGATGTTGATTTGTTGCTGTCTCTTATTTATCTTAAGAGCATGTGTGTGTATATGCATGTATATATATATATATGTATATATATATATTGGGAATGTATATTCTTTTAATAATTTTATTGTAATTGACTCCAAAAAATCTTGATAAGATTTTTCTGATATTTTGTGCAAATCTCATAATATTAAGTATACTGAAAATATGAATTGATAAAATTATAACATACTCTTGGAGATTCTAACTAGCAAACAATTGATGCAATATTTTCTGTTTTTAAAACAGATTTTACATATTTCTTTTTTAAAAATTAAAAAAATAAAATTCTAATATTGTACATTTTTTTGTATAAAACATGTTATTGCATACTTTACATTCAACATTGCATCTATTCCAAAACTTTATTATAACTCAAGTCTTGACTTTTAATTTTAATTATATTTATCTAAATTCAAATTACAATTTAGTGAAAAATCCAATTACAAACTCTGCTTACATCCTTCCTAGAATACAACAACAACAACCAACTTTGTTGAAACTATCAATACAAGCAAATATACAATAACATCCACAATGACAAATTAATTAGTAGTTAAAACTTTAGATAGTTTCTCCATTTGTGGAGATGAATGCACAAGAAGGACAAAAAGAAGAAATAGATGCAAGTTTGGCATGAGAAAGTACCAATTGTTTTGCAACTTTTGCATTTAACACACAAAAGTGTGTTGGAGCAATCTAAGGCAATGTGATCAACTTTGCCTTAGATAAATAAGAGAAAATTTTGGCAATCTAATGGCAATTTGTTTTACAAATTAGCTTTGTTTCCTCATCACCAAGACTTGGCTTTGACCTTGCTTTTGTAGTGTTAATTCTTTTGTTGATTCTCATGTAAAGACGTTTTTCTTTAATAACAACAGACTTGTAAATCCGCAGCAGAGACTACCAAAAAGTAAAATAAGAGCAGACTGATTTTGCTTAGTCGTATTGTAAGTTCCACAACTACAATTGCAAGACTACCAATTGAGTGGATTGTTAAAGGGAATCGGTTTGTTGGTGGATGAAAGATTGATAGCATTTGCATAATTTGTAGAATAAGTGCTGTTGAAATTTGAATTAGGCAACTAAGTGCTGACAACAATCTACTCCTTGGCCTAATCTTTATACTTTTATATAAAATCCAGTGACTTCTCTCAATGAAGTGTATTAATAAAAATCAATTGCCACTCATTTTTTTGGACTTAGGTAACTCAAATACTGTATACAATCCACGTATTATATTGGATATATTGCTCAACCATAGTCACTTCTTTCCTTTTTCAAAGCTTCTCATTGAAAAACTTTTATTATTGAAGAGTTTAATTGGATTGAAATTGAGTTTTTGGTGCTAGATGTTCTTTAAAATCAGAGCTCTTATCTTCAATGTGGCAATAGCCCATTCAACCTTATCTTCAATAATCTTGTGTTCTAATTCATAATTTCTATGTTGTTGCTAAGTTGCTCAATATTCTTTTTTTTGGCATGTTTGGCAATAGAATCGTTATAGTTGATAGATTTCTTTTGAAAGCCAAGTTGAAAGATTCAAGTTTGAAGTTTGCTGAGATTGGTCTTCAAGTTCGAGTTGTTCTTTGAGTTCATAAAGAATAGTAAAACAACTAAATTGTGCATTCTGTTGTAGCAAAGATGTAAGTAAAGGTTCAATATTTCTTTTTGTTTTGGTTAGATTTTAATCTTGAATAAATTAAATACAATCTTAAGAAACATGTTTTATTTTATAAAAATACATAATTGCAACATTAACAATAACTATTCTTACTAGCAATACAAAAGTTACAAAATATAAAACTTACAAGAAGGTAAGTAAAAATGACTTATCTTCTAAAAAATTTTAATAAAAAGATTATAAATTTAAAAATAGATAAATAATTATATAAAAAAATTTAAAAAATGAAAAATAAAATAAAAAAATTCTTTAACTAGTCCATATTAAAAATTACTTCAACTAATTTACTTGATTTACATATAAAAGACATTATAGGAGCTATTAAAAATTCTATTAACATGTATAAGTTGATAGAATAGAATTATATAATGACTAATTAAGAGTTTTAAAAAATTTAATTAATAGATTTTTTCATCTTTTTCAAAATACTAAAACATAACATAAATAAAATTTTCATTTTCTTTGTAAAAAAATATTTATATATAAAAAATATTAAATAGTAATAGTGATTTTTATTTACATCAAAAATACATGCATCTCTTACTTCAAACTCTTCTTTTTAGTGTGTATATGTGTGTATATATAGGGTATTGCTATTGCCACCACAAATTCCATCGATGGTTGGAATTTACATCAAAAATACAAATAAATATACATATATATATATATATATATAGTAGAATGTATTTACAAAATGCAGGAGATTAAGCTTGAGGGGACATGTGGTGCTGTTTTGTGCAAAACTGATAAGACAGAGTATTGCTGTGGTGATTCAGGTCTGCACTAGATTGATTCCTTGTTATTGCCCATTGTGGGCATCGAAACTGGCTGTCCCTCTTTGTCTGTCTTTCTGTCTATCATGCGGCTTATTGTTGCACTTACTGAAAGTTATAGAACTAGGGCGCTCACTTCATTCGGAGTACAAATGCATGTTCCTGCCCACACCGAAGTGCATAGGAAGTCTGTCCACCAAGTCGGTAGTAACCATCCTAGAAATCTAAGACCCTGACTTGATTTATGCAAACTTCAGAGGACACTAAAGCGGTCACACTACCGAGCTTTCATCTCATGCACGAGATCGATAACCTGAACCTCTGAATTGGAAACTGTGCTAGAGAATGTGCCAGTGATTTCTTCGATCTATGTAACGAAGGTGCAATACTCTGTGTGATTTATTACGGATGCGATCCGTGTTATGACCTGCTCATGCACGAACAAGTTGAGATGTCACACACTTCGAAGTGAGGACAGTGTGTTGTGTGAACTAGCATTGGAGGTGACTCTTTGGTTTGGAGGTGACCACACGAGTGAGCCAGCAGGGAATGCCCAAGAGCTGTTTGAGAGGACCGTAGAACCTGTGCTGGAAGACAAGATTGACGATGCTTCAAATCCACGAGAGCTTTAAAAATTGACTGACGACCTGAGCTCGTTTGCGATCCCCAGACGTGAGAATTCGGGGCTATGAACACACTGTCTGAGGCACGCATTGTTGAAGGCGCGTGAGGTTTCCTGAAGCAAACCTTGGCATTTTTTTATTGCTCGTGCTGCAGTTCAGGATCAGTACCCCGCTGCAGAATCTTATCGACAACTACCCGCATCCGCCATGCAAAATGACATTCATTTGGTTTTTCGATTTCATTTTCTGGACAAGAGTTTCGCTAAGCGCATCACTCTCACTCGTGGGATAACAAATCTCGTCGTCTTGCAGTTATTATAGCTCCAACATCTTCGCAAACCGTGACGATTAGGGTCAACGAAGTTCACTTGTTTGTATGGAATAACCTATTTCAGAACATGTCGGTGGATACCATGTAGGTGAACCCCAACACTTGTACAATAAACTGGACATCAATACTCGCTTAATACTTCGTAAGATGGACTCCACGAAGCCAATTGTGGGGGTCCAGAGACTTGACTCCGCTCGTGTCTGCTGTGGCATACCTCCCCCCCTCTAGTTCAGTTCGCATGATCCCGTTCCTTAAATGAGTTTCGGACGAAATAAAAGTGAGTCGTGATGGGTTAAAAAGAGATCTGTTGGATTTTCGACACATTATCTAACGAAGTTATTAGTGGACATGAAACACGGGTTCTTATCGAGAGTGCGGAGTGAGACCTATGTCCGGGATTCGTTTTTTAATGCCATCTTTGCAACAGACTTATCTGAGGGACGCAGAAGAGGCGTTGGGAAGAAGCTATCCATCAGTCCGAGGACCGAAACCCCGCTATGCTGTATGTTTACCTGCAATTTTAGAGTTGCCAACTCCAGTGATATTTTGAACCTGAAGCGATATGGTGACAACTCTTTGTTGAGCAAACCATCAAATGTTTCTCAGGTGCGTAGACTAACAGCACGGTAACTTTCCTGCAGGTATTCTGTAGAACAAACATAACATATATGAATCCTATCTGGTCTACCGTACCAACTGATTCTGTGGTCTGCAGGGTGACCTTTCCAGAAACTGCACCAAATTGAAATGGTAGCCTTACAGTGCACGATGCAGAGATGGGCGCAAAGGATGGCATCGGCATAAGGACATACTGAGGATAAGCCTTTAGACTACAACAAGCCCATGCTCTGCCAGATAGTCTTTTTTCAATTATTCCTCTGGCTGATTTCCTCCTCCTGAGGCTTTGAAAATTTGAAAATAATGGCGTGCAATCTCCTGGGAACTATCTTGTGATGCACTTGCTCTAATACCTTAGACCCCTACGGCAGTCTTTTCTCTTTGAATTTTACCTGTGATTTAATGGTGACGTGTAAGACATTGTCAAGTGCAGCCCCTTTGTTGGAGTTCAGTATTAAATGGTGTTTGCCGTAGTCTGTCCAGCTGGTCATTCAGCTGTAAGAGGCGGGAAGCATGTGGAGTTTGCAGGACTATATTTCCTTGTTTACTATTGGTCTCACGTGAGTGTATATGATTATGCTGTGCACCACGTAGAGTACCGAAGACTTCGACACTTGCCATTTGGGTTATTCCTTTTGTGCAAAACAGAAAAGAAAGAAAAGGAAAAAAAAGGAAAAAGAGGTATTCATTCAGTGTCTTCAGGGTTAATAACCTGCTTTCAGGACAAGTATCAGATGATATAGTGAATAACCCCATCAAAACCCCACCCAGATACTACTAATTACTTGGGGAAAATGTACAGAGCAGTGACAGAGCATGGCGCTTGGTAACCTCGAATGTCGTGGTTTCTCATTAGTGCGCCATCTAGTACACATGTGTGAGAGCAATGGCATGATCTGCTTGTTCAGGTGTCACCAGATTTTGCAGTCAGATCGGTGAACTCACCTACTTACGCAATTTTTCTACACCCTTCGGCACATACTCAGCTCGAAATACTGCGATAACTTGAAGACAATTATACATCCTTGGACGGCAAGTCAGTTCGCCAGCGAGCTGACATGACAAAATACTTATCCGCCGTTACCCTGCTTCATGAAGCTGTCAACTGTTGACTGTGAGAGTCGATCAACACTTTCACTCGATCGCCTCATGCTGCGGTGAGTCGTCACCGTCCTGAGAGTACTTTTAGAAGGCTACATTTAGAGCCTTCAGCGTCTGGTCTCGACAACCAACGATCACCAGTCTGGGTCATCGTTGTCTTGTTGAGTAGCTCTTTCTGCTGTAGTCGTGATCATCGAGGTGTTCATTGCGGAAAAGGAACAGTACAAGCTTCTGTAGAGCTTGTAGGCTTTGGTCTGTGTGGATGGTTCGTCGTGCTTTGTGTGCAGGTATGGTGACTGAGAATGCACTGCAATGATAAGTGACTTATGTTTCGAAGTTTATTCTTATCCTCACTGTATCACAAGTTCGCATGGCTTGTTCTGGTCCTTGTTGGTTCCAACTGACAGTATGTAGCGTCTTTCACATCCCAGGGCTTCTAAAGAATATGGCGATGGAAATGCGAGCCCAAGGAACCCGAGGTGGTTCCGTCTGGGCGCTGGCCTGTGTCTTGATGGCTTCACTCGCACACTCGGCAATGGCCCAGTGCAGCCCTGCTGAGAGTGATGCATTGCTCAAATTCAAGTCCTTTTTTTCTGACCCTCGAAACGATTTCGCGTCATGGACTGGTGGTAATTGCTGCAGCTGGAAGGTAAGTACTTCAATATTCCCCTTCGGAGAGGCTCACTTGCCTGGGGTTCAGGGTTTTCGTTGTCTCCCTCGCTCTCCGTCTATGATATTGTTACCAACTGACTCCGTTCCATGTCATTACAGGGGGTTCAGTGTAGCGGGTCAGGAGTTACCGGCATTAACTTGGACTTCGGCGCACCCAGCCGCGGGGGCCCTGGAGCGCCGAGCCTCCTCATCTGGAGTGACCCGGAGGCAAGCTTCAAGGCAGGAGAAGCTCTGTCCCATTTGTATCAGCTCCAGGTCCTGCACACCAACTGGATCATATGGAACGCGCCTCTTCCTGTCAGGAAATTCGCCAACCTCCCTCTGCGCGAGATTGTGGTCCGCAACGGATTCCTAGGTAACGCGAACGCCGCCGGAGGTGCTCTGGGCAACGACATCGGCCTGTTCGCCAACTCTCTGGAAGTCCTCATCCTCCAGAACACCAAATATAACATCGGTCTACCTTCGGATCTCTGCAAGCTCAAAAAGCTACGCGTCCTGGAGGTTTCGGAGAGCCACCTGCCCAACGTGGGGCCGGCGTGTCTGGGGTCAGCGCTCAACAACACGCTACAGGAGGTGCGAGTCCACTCCAACTACAAGATTACTACGGGCCTGCCCGTGTGGCCCACCCTGTTGCCCTACCTCAAGGTGCTGGACTTCTCCAACAACGCCCACTCTGGCAACATCCCCGTGCAGTATGGGAAGCTCGCTAACGTGGAGCTTCACTTGGGTGGCAATCACCTCACAGGAAAGCTTCCTTCGGGATTGAGTGCCTTGCCGGAGTCTGCATTCCGCCCCGGCAACGAGAAACTCTGCGGTGCGCCGCTCTCGACATGCCCCGCCTGATTAGATCAGAGCAACTAGACCAGATCATCACCAGCTGACCCCGCTAGATGGACTCTCGCATTCATCGCTGTTACTATACGTTTGGGTTTGAGGATCTGGCATGTTTTGTTTTGCACCCAGCTCTAGCTTTGTAAAGGAATTTTTATGATGAAATGGACACTGGGCTCATATCATGAAAGTATCTTCACGATGCACCTGCTTCGTCTCGTTCCTGTCCCACCATTGTTTTTCGAAGGTCAAACACCTAGCTCGCCTGCTCACCTTTGCGGCGTTCAGGTCTGCTGTGACAATGCCTGCAACTGTGCCGCAGATGATGATCTGACACATGAGCTCTCTCACATTGCAACTGAAACTTGTAAAACGTTTTTATAAATTGTTTTTCATGAATGTGGAATATGTTGAGCTGCTTGAAAGTGGGTTGCATTTGATGTATTGTCAGCGTGTAAGTGCAGCGCATCACCATTTTGTGTAACACAGGTGTTTTCTTATCAGATGTTACTGAGTATTCTCTTCTCAGCTAATATTCAAGCTCATGAACATAGTATGTTTGTGTCAAACTTAAAAATATGGTTGTATAATATCGGTCATTTTCAGCCCGGATCCTGAATTTATTATGCAGTATGGAAGAGAGGAACGCATCTCGATGTCTACCAAACCGCGCCGCAAGTGATGTCCAGGGTTTTAGGGTGTGGCTGATGGCAATGGTTGCGTTTAACTGGTATTGTACTAATATATTCACTGCAATATAAATTCATTGTGATTGTTTTATTTTTTGAACTTGGATTTAGCAAAACAGATTTTTCTGTTTGGAGGTTTGTGTAATCAACAATATTTCTAGTGCTGAATGTGTGTGGCTTGGACTATGTACACATTCTTCCGGTTGTGTCTTCAGATATTAATTTGACAGAATTTTCAATGATCTGTGATTATAAGCACACATTGTAGAGGCGTTTTGGTTTTACCGAAAAGACGGAAGGCTCATTTGCGCATCTTTGTTTTGGGTAATCCTGTATGCACTTCTGTGTACAGGACGGGTATTCAAAATGTTGAATTAGCATTTCTTAATTGAACTGACAAAGGTTTGGTGTATGCTTAGATGGAATACTTAACGACTCATATAATAACTGTGTTATATGAGTACAAAACCACCTTCACATCGATTTAGTCAATAAAGTGTTCAGCTAGCTGAAAGTATTCATGACATTTCAATATCAAGCAAAAACCCAGGTAAACAATACATCTATCTAAAATTTGGATTTGATGAAATATTGATTTTTTTTTTAATATGTTATTACCATATAGAAGCATGTCTAGTATGTGTATGTCTATGAGGTGCTAATTTACACAGAAAAGCTATTTAGGATTAGCAAATAGTTGAACTCAATTAATCACTTAAATTTCTAGTAATCACCTTTGAAGGCTTTTTAGACAAATATCTAAAAATATTCTTATAAGTGGCAATCAACACTGGTTAGGATTTGAAGGAATGACAAGAAAACTCCAATCTACTAGTACCAAGATTTTTTATCACCCTTAATTTTTAAAAAGATAAAAAAAAAAATAGAAGCAAAAAAATAATAATAAAAGAAGAAAAAGAAAAGAAAAGAAAAGAGTCATGTTAATTATATTAAATTACTAATTATATGCAAATTTGGTTTAGAAACATCACACCAAATTAAATATGCTTTTATTATAATAATCAATTAAAATGCAAAAATACAAATATAAAGCCATAGATTTTTTTGGCAAAAGAACAAAACTTCTAATAAGATACAAACAACAATAGAATCATAATAGATCAAGATATTTTTTGTCAAGAATAAAGTAAATGTTAAGAAAAGTAAACAACTTAAATCAAGAGAAAGAAACAAATCAAGTTCCAAATTGGTGAATTAAAATGAAATTGATGGCAATCTATCTATCATCTATCAATCTATCAAAAATTAAATTAATGGCAATCTATCTATCAATTCACTATGAAAGAAGTTAAAAATTTTGAAAACAAGATTTTTTTTTATTTATTTATTTATTTTTATCATTTCCAAGGTAACATCTTACAAGAGATAATTAGATTATAGCTCTTTGAAAAGAGAGATTATTATCTTTGTGTAAATTACAAGATAATTAAAAAAAATATGTATATATATATATATATATATATATAGATATACTTATTCTTTTCTTGTTGAGATGCATCATTAAAATTAATTGCATAAGAAAATTTATTATTATGTCATTTATATTTGAAATTTAAATTGATTTTTTTTTACAGTACACTCATTGATTAGGACTTGAAATATATAGAAGTGTATCAAATATCATTTAAAATAAATTATAAAAATAAAAGTTTTATCTTTAGAAAATTGACTTTAAAAATAAGTGTATTGGTTGAGTTTTTAAGAAATTGAGAAAATTGATGTTGAATTAAATTTAGAAAATTAGGCACTTTGAATAACCTCAAAAGATAACAAGTTATGTTTTATAATTTTAAAAAATAAGCAAAATACTCTCTTTGTATGTTCTTATATCTTTGTTTATTTACCCCCCCCTTCTACTTCTCTCAATTTATTTCTCATCTATCTTATTTGGTTTTACTACTTGGTTAGAAATTGAGAATACAAATTACAATGTAGAGCACAGAAGTGATAGAGAAGAATAGAACAACCAAAATTAATGATACTAGTAGATGTTCTTCAAGATGGTAGATAGATTGCCATCAATTTAATTTTCTTATCTAGTTAAGAAGTTCTCACATCAATTAAAAATGGCAATAAATTTTAGAATCAACTTTTATATATCATAGTAATTAACATACATCTATAAAAAAGATGTTTAAGTTTTAAACTACTTTTTAAAAAAATATTAAAATAACTATACTATTAATTTATGTATATAAAATATATATTTATATACAAACTATAATAATATTAATTTTTTATTTAAAAATATGATTTTTGAAAACAAAAAACTCAACCAATACACCTATTTTTTTACAAATTGCACATTATCAATAAAAACTTGTAAACTTGTTGAATTTTTAAAATAAAACCTACATAATATAAAAAATTAAGTTTTTCTTGTGAAAGAAAGAAGAAAAATAAATAAATAAATAAATAAATCATGAAAAGATGAACGAACAAAAGGTGAACCAAAATCTCATATTTATGTCATGAACTAGAGAATCAACCAACATGTATAAAAGATTTCTCCAAAAGAAAAAAACATCTAAAGCAACACAAACTATCTCCATATTCGAAACAAAAACGACACAAGGTAGTGGTAGTGTAGAAATGGGCAAACAAGGCAATGGTAGCGAAAGGTGTGTTTTGGTCTCGCAGAGAGCAGGTCAGGTTGTGTTTAGCCAGAACCTCTTTCAAGTCTTGTTTTCCAATCTTCACACCCAAGCAATGCATGCATGGTGATGACCAGTGCCTGGCAGTGCCTTCCTCCTCTCGAATTCTGTGTCGACGGTGATGTTAATTCCTGTCTCTCTCTCTCTTTGAATAAATAGTCTTCTCTGCTCATATGTAAATCGTCTCACCCACATCGGCACCGTAGCCCACTTTCAGCACTATGTAGTCGTGATTGAGGATAGACAGCAGCGGTTCCGCATGCCCACTAGTGGTGAAGTTAGATGTATGCACTGTTTCGGTCCTGTGTAGTTTGTGGGATCTGTCTATAATTGATATTGCTGATTGCCAAAGAGAATCAGTTACATTAAATGACAGTTGACAGCTCGATCTGGCACAGAGTTGCTGTGCTTCAACCTCTCTCTGCATACTCTTGCCTCCTTATTTGTTCGCACTGCCCCTTGCTTACCGCAAATCTACTTTGTCTTGTTCTATCAGTCGGTAGCAACTGAGAACATGGACTGCGTCGCAGGGCACACAAGTCACTGAGATGAACAGAACGTAGAACCTGATTATCAGTAATGGGTATTTCTAAAAATGGTGGGCTGATTGCAAAGCTCCTCAGATTTGTCTGTCTTCAATGTGTCCGCTGATCAGTTCTCTGGAACTATCGCTGTTTAATTATTCTACAACTAGTGGAAACATCAACCCATACTACTTCTAAACTCTTTAAAATCAGATTTCAACTCAACACACAATGTACAAAGATATAATAAGTCTAGGAATGAAGTATTTTACATTAGATTGTCAATTTAATAACTGTTTTGTTCTATTCATGACAAAACAAGGATTACTTGATGTATTTGACTTTTACTAACTTTAAATTAAAATGTGTTGGAAATATAGATCTTTACTTTGCAGTCAAGTACTTTATCTTTTGAAACTCTTTATAAGAAATTCTCATCAAAAACTGTTAATTTGATCTCCTTGCATCAACTTTCTTAACTAAATTGTGTTGCTTCTATAACTACTACCTTCTCATATTTTCTCCTCTCTATTTCTTCTATTCATTTTTAATTTTTTATTAATTTTCTAAAAAAAGTATAATATTTTAAGACTTTTGTTCTAAAACCTATCCAATTATCAATACCTTATCCCATTGGATATCAACTTCAATACAATTATTTTAGTCAATTTAACTAGCTACATTAATCTGATTTGATTAGATCAATTTAACTTGTTAAGTTAATTCAATCAAAGTGAATAATTTGAATAGAGATAGAGATTATGTATCTCTATAAGAATCTTATATTCTTTTTTTAGATTAAATTTATCTAAAAAGTAATCTTCATCTAATATTTAATCTTTGGAATAATATTTCAATCCAATTATAAGTCTAAATAAGATTATATATATATATATATATGGCTTAAGGCCTTGCTATTTTATTATCCTATAATGCAATGAAACAATAGTCTTTATTTAAGTTTGATCCAAATTTCTCCTAAAGACATAAAAGATCTACAACATCAATATATTTTTTAACATAAATTGACTTTGCATGTTATATATACTTCATAGTATGTCATGTTTAAATAAAAAACATCTCCATCTATACATTCATTTTTGTCTAATAAAATTTAAAACATATAAATAGTTTTATTTAGATTATTATATAAATAAAATCCAGCCAGATATTTTATTTGTAATTTTTGAGGGCAGTATCACAGAGTCAAAGTCTACTGTGGAGGAATTTGTATTATAATAAACTTCTATATGTGTCTTTCAAAGACATGCATATCTAAAGTTGTTATTAAATTGAGAAGGTTAAATCTTTTACTTTGTATGCATTAGTTAGAAGTTTTCCAAGGTAACTTAATTTTAGAATTTGATTATTTTTTTATCTATAAAAAAATAAATAGGTATTAAATCAATTAATTAAATAAGAATATTAAATTTTAAGCTATAATTAAATTGTTTATTGTTAAAAACACAATTTTAGATGGACATATTTGAAAAGTAATATTTTTAGAGAAATACTAAATTAATCTGCATAAATCTTAAAGTGACCCACTATGTGACTTTACAGTTTAAAATTGCCCCAAGACCCTTTTTAGGCAGCCTCTCTCCTTTTGCAATAGAGGATTTTCTAGCCTAAGTGATATTTTGGATTGTTAATTCAAGCAAAAAAACTCTAAACAACTTCATGCTATTGGAGCGCCAATACTCAAATACATGAAATTGAAACCTCATTAAAATAGCACAATTTTGCGGCAGCCAAAATAGCCTTCGGGTATTTAAGCATCCAAGTGTTCATAGTGCCTTGACGGTGGGTCAATTTTATATTCGCTTTTTATTTTAATGTATAATTGAAAAAATACTAAGAAGACCACAAAAAATATATATTTAAAAGATAAAAAATAATCTAATATTTATTTTTAGTATTTAAAATTAGAGGATATTAAACCAATATTAGAATACAAAAAGAATTATAATAAAGATTAAAGATAACCTCAATCTTATTTTAATATTTATTAGCTAATAAAAAGGTTATGAAAAAAACTTTCTAATCACCATAAGACTTCTGAGATAAGTTTTCTAATGGTAAAATATTTTTATGATATCATTTCAAAAGTTAAAACTTCTTAAAGTTTCTATAATGACGTGGGACATCTAAGAATACTTACAGATGCAATCCACAATTAGGTATTGTGATTGATGTTTTTTGACAAAGACATTTAGATTACAAAATCTCCATTATATATATATATATATATATATGTCATCTTTTGGAAGAAAAAAAATGGATGAATAGGAAAATGTCTACATTCATAATATGTCCATGCTCAAAGAAATATTTCAAAAAATATTAAAAATAAAAAAATATAGTTTTCAATTTGCAACTGAGTAGTTTATTTGTATTCATGAGATTGAAAAGTACAATATAAAAAAATACATTAATTCTATTTATCTTAAAAATTCTAACTTCGATTTTATTTTTCTTTTTTGTTCAAAATAATCACATAATAGAGTCTGGCTTTGTATTCTTAATCATAATATCATTTTCAAAACGTATTTTGGATTGATTTGCAAAGACATAATTGAACGCTGTAATGAAACACACAATTGGATAATTTTCCAGTTGAGAGACTATTTAATTCTCAACTTGAGAGTTATTTAGCAACTTAGAGTGGCAAGTTTTTGAAAAGAATTCATGAAATCGTAGTGATCATATTTCGATTCAAAGCCTTGGTTCACCGCGACAAATTGAATATGTCAGGTGTAGAAATAATGATTTATTCTCATACACGATGCTCATCACACCCTTTTGTTGTTTACAGAAGTCGAAGTGGTGACAAAGAATCTTTAATTACATTGTTAGAACTAAAACTATCATGGGGATTGAACTTCATTGAAAATGACCCACTTGACGATTGAACCAGTGGAATCTGATAAGAATGAATGTTGATGCACATCTTTGAGTCATTTCGTTTCTATCTTAGTTGCTCAGTGAGAACGAAAGAATTGCAATGATATTGTGTCAGATATCTTGTTTTAGAAATAGAAAAAAACACAAAGGCAATATGATTTGCCTGTTAATGATGTAGCATTAGTTCATTTAGTGTTTTCATTTCTACTTCACGAAGGTATTCCAACTCATGTCAAAGCCTCCACCGTTCTCTGTTCTACAGCATTTTCGTTGTTGGAATTCTCATATAAGAAAACATGAATTGGAGACCCCCCAGCTGGTGACCAAGAATTGGCAATTACTCTGAATGAGTTCATCAATCGTTTAGCTAATCAGCCTTTCATCACGTAAAAGGTCTTAAATACTTCCAAAAAATCCCTTCCTAGGGATTTGATGAGTGAATGAGCAGCCCCTTCTCACGCAGTGTGGTGTTCCACCTTCACCGGGACGGGACCTAGTTCAGAGTCTAGATCTACTCTAAAAGGGACAAGAGGACGGCCAGTAAAGCTCGCCAATCTATAAATCTGGAGGATTAAGCTATGGCACCTACAACGAGAGCAACGCAAATGATGGGCAGTAATCTTCTCCATTCGATATGATGCTTCTCTGCAGTCTGATTTGAAATGTTTTGGGACATATCCATAGAGGTGGTCACTGAAGCAAACGTTACCTTAGCTATCTGCTTAGAGCTTCGAGTCCCAATTGGCTCAGAGAGTTGAAGCGGAAGTTGCACATCCTGCACTGAAGATAGCGTCGAATGTTCCAGTGGAGCCCAATGCAGCAAGTCATCATCAGTGGACAGAAAGCTAGATTGTGCTTGACTGAGGGCCAGAAACTTCCTTTCTTCAGAAATAATAGTACTTCCGAGATGCCATGTTAATGACTCTCGAGGTATAGCTTGTTCACCCATTGCATGAACGGCTGCATCGGCTATCATTGGCCGAACTTCCCGTACTTTGTAGCCAAAACCGCCTACCTGCATCCATAAGACCTGACAATTTAGACAGAAAACATTGCGATTTGTTCTAGCGATGTGTATATCCCACCAATCATATTGTCAATGGCCTATTCCCCCTTCCTAATGTGTGGGATGAAATTCCATTAAAGAGTGGCAGAATCCACTAATCGGTTTAAATAGACTCATCATTCCATTATAATCAGATGGATAGGCACAGCAAATCATGGGAAATGAAAGCTATACCGCAGTTGGATGAACAGCATTTGTCAATAGAGCTACAAAAAGATTCCGATCAGGATCTATCCATAATGATGTGCCTACACGAAACATAGAGTAAAATTTCCCAAGTCAGAAAGTGAAGTCGCAATGGATTTTAACATTGTTGAAACTATAGTCCTAGAAATAAGTTCTATAGGAAAGGTTACCGACCTGCAACCCTGCTCTTTCAATATTCGCACACTGTATCCCTTATCTCAATCAGAAAAAATAAATAAACAAACAAACAAACAAACAAAACGAAAAAACAAGAAAGAAAAGAAAAAGGGGAAGGTTATTCGATGCAACAACTAGAAAGAAAGTGTACCAACCTGTAAAACCTGTATGCCCAAACGTGCGAGAACCTAAATATTTTCCAGCAGATGTATAACCATCCATGAATCGCCGCACAGCTACATCCCACCTGATACAAAAACATTGATTACACCCAGAGGAACATTGTAAATAGACCGCATGAAGTCAAGTTGCTTAAGAAGCCATGGACACCATCGGACCACTACTCACGGGTGTCTAAATAATGCCAATCGGACTACTAAAGTTTGGTGCACTTTACTAAGAATACTTTTAGTAGCATTCTCTATTACGTGCACAAACAAGTGGCAAGGCGAAATATATTAACTCTGGTGTTTGCCTATACACCGTAGGCTCAACCAAGTCAGACAGAAGACTTCTAGATTCATCAAGAGTTGGTGTTTAGGATCAAGAGATGAATCGGATGGCTTACCCGAGAGCAAAAGGGCGAGGATTATTCGGAGTCTTTAACCCAGGTGTTGTGAATAGGCGCACAGTACTTTCTCTAAAGAGACGTCGACTAGTGGTCTGATCCATTCCTCCAGCTAACATTGTCTGTGCGAACTGAACCCCAGGTTTAAACACATGAGTGGGATTTCCTACAACATTGCTTAGCTACTGAGTACAGACCGCTTAAAGTTTCAAATAAAGCCTACAAGATCTGCAAATAATTCCTTTCATCAAAATATTGTATAACATTTGATGAGAAAACGAAGACCAACAATAAAATGTCTTAAAGTGCAATGGCATCAGAAAGTACAATAAAATAGAAAATAGGCTGGTGAAGAAGTAGCGTGATCGAAGTACCCGACAGACATCAATGATAGTAGAGAAAAGACCCGCGTGTCCCGCTACTCCACCAAGCACAAAAGCGCTTGGGTCATGGACTGCAAAGTTATTTATCATCGCAGTTTCAGCAATAAATGTGATGTAGACGTTTAAAAGACCATACTAATTGTATCAATAGCTTCATTAATATGTTTTCTGAATCTTGTATAAGAAAAGTGAAACCTATGTATAGATATAGCCCCATATTGACTTCAAATATGCATGCCTTTTACAATTAATGAACACCACCTCATAATATCCTGCAACAGTCTCATGACATTCTTTACGTCAACAGAAGCTAGGAGGGAGCAGATTTATACACCCTTTGATAGCTTTTACAAAATATTCGTTCAAGCATATCAGAAAGAACCCAGAGGACAACTACCTTCACCCCAAAGCAGGCGATTGCGGTGCATCCGATCGACTTCAGTAGGAACCACCAACGGATTAAAGTCCGTCCTGTTGATCGGCCGAAAACATGTACTGCGCATACCCAACTATCCAACCACAAACAAAACTACATGAGGCACATGATCGAATTCCATCACCTTTCGAAGAAACTTCGTCCACGTCATATTTCTTCAATAACATAAAAAGTAATTAAATTATAAAAACAAGTGCAAAGAAATATCTGTCTTACTGGTTCAAAAATTTCCTTCGCAGTAAAGACCTCCAGGGGCATGCGGGCAATGCGCTCCACAATCAAACCAAGGACAATCATGGACAGATCACTATACCGCGTCATGCCTTTCGTATACCATATCTTATCTTCCATAATATATTCCAAAACCTGTGCCATGATCAACGAGCATGTGCCTCTTAGCCAGCTTATTCATACCTTGCAACATTATTAAAGCCCGCGTCTGTTCTCAACACACAACGCTCCCGTTTAAAGCTCAGCTACAAATCATGTAAAACACCAAGTGGGAACATACGTATTAAATTAACCAAGCGAAACAAGAATATAAAGATCATAAGGAAGTAGGGAACATAGAAATTATTACATGGTCTTTCTGTCTCAACCCCATGTCGAAAAAAGGGTAGAACTCGCGCAGCCCAGCAGTGTGAGTCAACAATTGCCGTATGGTAATAAACTCTTTCCCGTTGTTTCCAAACTCTGGTAGATACTTACATGCAACCTCCTCCAATGCTGTACCACCAGATAATCAATGCTAATTACTATCATGAGCAAACAAAGATATCTTTAGATAGAAAAAGGCCAAGATACTAATCAAAAATTGCACTTTCGAGACTTCAACAAAACATGCCGAGCTAGTGCTCTCTCATACGTCAACCAATACGGTATAAAACGCGAAGTGTTACAATAAATCCAGACAACCATCAAGAAGTAAGACGAGAAGGCAATCCACCTACAAGGAAGGATAAAAAACTGACATACCAATTTGTCCTCGATCATATAAGATCATGATGGATGGTACGGTAGCCATGATCTGCAGAAATCGCGACTTTCAGCTTAAGTAACGAAAAGAATTTACACATGTGGATTATATATATGAACCATGAATAAATATTGTTACCAAACAGTCTTAATAATCACGTCATTACGAAGATCAGAGGTCAACCAGGCGACAACTTAAAAAGCGATCGAAATAGGCACATTCATTATCTTGTTATAACCCTAAGCACGTAGAGCAAGTGAGACACAGCGGATGTGAACAGGCAATCTCACCTTTGTCAAGGAGGACATATCCCATTGTGATTCAGGAGTAACTGCGCTGCTGGACTCACTACATAAAAAGAAAGTGTAAGGACCATCTGTGGTCAACAACTCATCATTGTACGTTTGGAGTTCTAGCGTAAATTTATTTGAGTAGAAGATAATGGATCAGTTGGTGGCGTTAAGATGTCTCAGAATATCGGTTATAAGTTTACAAACGTAATATCAAACGCGCAAGAAACCTGAAACTTTCCCAAGGCGACAGTCAGATAGATACAAGTTTTCAGAGCAGAAAAACTAAACATAATCCAACCTACCTTAATTCTTGGTGTAGAGGTATGAATACTTACAAGGTGTACGTTCCATAGGCTGACCACCAACAGCCAGTCATCCAAAATGCATCCATGTAAGAACAATATCAGTAGATTATCACTCACATCGAGGTGGTGTACGTATATCACATCCATAACAACATTTTACGAGATTTTCTAATCTAAATCTCAAGAGATTTAATTAGAAACAATAATCTGAGGGAATATTAAGCAGGATCAACCTTGATAGTAGCATGGAACAGTACAAGAACCAAACGCCACAGCACCACCTGGAAACGTGCGCTCAGCAATTGCCTTGTGCATTATATCGCTAATAGTGAGCTGTTCATCCATAGATGATGACGCTAACCCACTGCAGATTGGCTCCGTCTCCAGAGCCATGTTCTCCTCCAAAACAGATCATTCAATTTTGAAACCAATGAAGGACCTAGGTTCTTGAATATTCGAAGTAATTTACATTAAACTATTACATAATGCGCCTATCCAGGACATGAACGCGGTGAAAACGTCTTCAAGAAATAAAAAATACTTAGCTACTCCTGTACCACTTCCACATCAAAGCCCAGTGAGGAAATTTTCTCAACCGAACGCAACCGATCCAGCCGGCTCGTACACGGTATCCCGTGCGCTCGCCTGAGAATCACATCCAGTACTGTGAGTACCCAGGAGCATCACTACATCAACCAAGGAAATTGAAATCTGTCAGCTCCGAGTGTCAGGCCAAGTATCGCATTTTATACACGCTCTAACTCCAGGCTTAGAGGAATTAAACAATACTACCGCGACAACCACGAACTGCAGTCCATTCTAGACCTAATCAGAGTGTCGATACACCAAATTTCCTTTCCGTATAGGTTGTCCTTTTACGACTGGGAAGAAGATCAGGTAAGCAATCCTGCATCTTCCCAGGGCTAAACCCCATTGCAGAATTAACGGGCATTAATGAACTTCAGCTTGTTCCTTAAACCCACAAAGTATCCTCTGTACGCGATCAAAATAGAGGCAGCACAAGAAGCAGATGATGACAGAAAATGCGGTACGCCTCGGAATTTCAGATTCTCTAAGAAAGGGAACAGAGCAAGCTTTCAAACTACCCTCACCAATTTGCAAGAAATAAGGAAACAACTGGATATTCTTCCAAACACTACCGATGTCGTTTATGGGGTGTTGGCACCACACTGATATATCAGATGTAATGAGTACTATGAGAAGGCAATACAGGGTGCGAAGACACTTAGATGGAGTGCGATAATGAGGGAAATAGAGTGGAGCTATTTAATGCGATGAACAGGAAGGAACTGGAGTAGCATCAGAACTGCAGAACACTCGTTTCCACGTCAATCAATTGAACGACACGAGACAAGACAGACGCATTTTAAATCCAAAGTAGTAAAGAAAGCATATTAAACTCGTGACTGAGCGAAAAATCCCAAATCTACACGACTGGTTCCCGATTCAGACGAGGAGAGAAGGAAAAGCGTCGTAATCAAGACAAAAAAAATGTCCGGCCGGCCTGATCAGACACAGGCACGATAATCAAGGCAATGTCGCATTCGTTACGAAACGACTGCAGCCACTAATGTTCTCAATAACAAGAACCAGAATAGCCCAATGCGTTAACAACGAAGTGATCACAACTCCGTCTCTTCAAGCAATCAAGGACGTTGGGCTTCAAATACATCACTATCGGGGGGGGGGGGGGGGATACAAAAACAAAAACGAAATCATCCTCAAACTCGCCACAAAACCTCAAAACGACAACTACCAGCACCGCGATGCGCCATCACAGAAATCGTCGCCTCAGTGAACAATCCACGAAAACGCGGCACAGATGTCACCACACGGGAATATAATAAAATGAAATCATCCCCTGTCCTGCAACAGAACTCGTCCCCATCTCTCTTTCTCTCCAATTAAGAAAATCACACACAGGTGCAACGAAAGCCGCCGATCTCCACATACCGCAAACTCCACAACCATGCGCATTGTCCCCAACCCCCGTCGCCTAGCCACGCCGCACGCGATCACACAATATCACCAATACAAACTCCCCTCCCCTCCCCTCACCCTCCGATTACAACAAAGAGCGCAAGGCAACCATAAGAAGCGCTACAGAATTCAAAGGAATCCTTGTCCGGAGCTCTCCACGAGCAAAGAAGACGCTTGTCAGAGGCAGCAAGGAGTGAGACAGTGGCAGTGCAGCAGTTGGGAGCTGCGTGCACGCCATGGCCATCGCCATAGCCGGCGGGGCAAGCAACAACAACGAGGCACCGGGGGCTTTACAACTTCTCCGAGCAGGCACAAAGCATAAACAAATAAAATTATATTAAACTCCCCTTCACTTCCCGTTCAATGTAACCCTCTCCCCCCGTGGATGGATGGATGGATGGACGGACGGACGGATGCCTCTTCTTCTCCTGTACTTCATTCATCGACATCATATTGCTCCCGCTTGCAAAACCTACAGGAAATTCTATCCAACTCCAGATGTTGTCGAAACCGAATCCATGCCCCAGGAATGCGTGCCTATGACCGCTGGATGGATGTCGAATCCTTTAAACGGATGAACGAGGAAAGAAGCAGTTGCACCAGATGAATGTATGGTTTCCATCCATCTTTATTTAGTTTCAAGAACATGAGAGAATGCGTCAAAATTTTAGTCTATCCTATTTTCCATGATAATGTATGTCCATCTTAAAAAATTTGGCTTGAAACTAAAGAAATGATCACAAGAAAATAATAAATATATATGGTTTAATTCAACCTAATAAATATCTAGTTAATATTAAATATCTAGTTATTGATCATTAAAATAATATTTAAAAAGTGTATAGTTTTTAGCTCAAAACAATAGAATCTATTTGGTTTTGAGCAAATTAATAATATTTAATAAATAATATATTAAATTATAGTAATAATATGTATATATATATGTATATAAGTATATATCTTCTTGATATGTATCTATATAAATATACACACATATATAAATACAAAAAATGAAAATAAATCAACCTAAATCATATCATTTATGTTTAGAACTGCACTACATAACTTTGCATACTTACACACTTAATAACCATGTCATGTTATTTGAATATTGATATACTTGAAAAAAAAAAATATATATATATATATATATATATATGCTTATTTTGGAATCTACAAAATTATCAATAATGCCATGTGTATATATATATGCACTCATTTCATTTTATTAGAATTGAAAACAAAATTTTAATTAAATAAATGCTGCTTTAAAATGTACATATGTTAAATTACCTAGAGTAATGAAAAAATTAAACATGAATGCATATTAATTAATTCAAAAAATCTTTGATGCATCAATGAGAAAAATATCTTAGTTTTCTTAATATCAAAAATTTAATATTATGTCTTGAAAAATAAAAAGCCGGCTTTCAAATGTATCCGTCTTCTTTGTTTGTTTCATTCGACATACTCTATAGTTGATTATTCTACCACCGAAATAATTGCTAGTGCATTAATACGTACTATTGTTTTAAAACAAATTTTGTAAATCTGACAATAAAAAAATTTAAAAACAAGCGATTGACTAGGTATCCATGGGCAACGTAAATTAGGGTTTCGTAGTATTAGACTGAGGAATGATGGGATGGGGTCAGATCGAGGGGGAGATTTCTAGCATGTATTGCCGTGAATTCACAGACAGCAGTGATCTTGAGTTCGGCGAAGTTGAAAATCAACATGTTCGCAAAGCAATGCTTGATCGGATCGACGAGGTGGAAGCCACTTGACCTGAAAGCTGATCCTCCAGAACCTGAAGTCTAGCTCAACCGGGAACGGATCAAACACTGCAATCGCAATCGGGATGACTGGCGATCGCAAATGTCGTGGCGGCCAGGTTAGTCGATCCGATTAGAGCTGCAACGAGGCCGTTGCGACAGACCCCGCGCTGCAAAGAGCTGAGAAGTTGCAGTTTTCTCGAGCGTGATCGTTGAGTTTCACGATTGTTGCCGCGGTGGTTGCGGATGCGGCAGAAAGGCCAGTTCGTCGCGTAGTTAGCAAGGTACAGGTCTAATTATCTGCAACTGTGGCATGGGCCCGTTGACGGGTTCTAGGCGCACTGTTCGGGGCTTTGATACATGGAGCTGCGACTTTTAACCGCGTCCTGTTCATCGAGTTCGGCGTGTTTATGATAGCTCTGATCGTGACTGCGAATGACGGTCGTGGTGCGGAATCTCCTCAGTGTCGTGACGGATTTGAACTCACGGGCGGTGGGACGAGGCAGGAAGAAGACAGTGGCTGGCGAGCGTCGAAAAAGCGGATAACCTAGCAGCCCATCTCAGAAGCTGCGACAGCAACCACGAGGAGCCGGGTGAGACTCATTCTTCGCAGTCGTCGAAGTGTCGCCGATGGTGCTCCAGATCGATCGTGGTCCGAGCGGCTTCTTTCCAGATTCGTCGGCGCCGGGATTTTGCCGCAGCGTGCATCGGGATCTGGATATACACACACTTACGTTCATACATTAACTAATTCATCCATCAAGCGTATTCGTTCATCTACACGTTTCGTACATCCATTGCCTAGACCAGTATAATCATTTCTGAGCTTCATATCTAAGCTTATTTCTAAATTTTTTATAGCTTAAATCTTCATGAAATTATCTATTTTATATATTTTATAATAAATATTGAAAATTTTTTCTATTGATATTTTAAAATGAAATCTATAGTACTAATAATAAAACACCAAAAAATTATTAAAATACAAATCCATAGAAGACATTATACAAATTGAATTTTAAAAAGATTCTTACTATGGATAATAATTCCTTTTAAAAAAATCCTCATTATTTGTATACTATAAGAATTTATTTACTTTGAAGTACTTATTATTGATATAATCTAACCACTAGTAATTGTAATAAAGATAAGCTCTAATTACCAAATCAATTAATTTCTTGTGATGTTTGCTTTTATTTTTATTATTATTATTTTCTTGGATTTTATTTTTTTAAAAATTAACTTTTTAATAACATGTTACTATATAATATCCTTTAAGTATGAACTTTAATACAATCATCAACATTTTATAAGAAAAAATCCTAATATATCTTCATTTATTACAAAACCATTGTTAACAATTATGTATTTTTTAAATATGTTTTTCTTGTTGATAGAAAAAAATATGTTATCTTCTTCTATTTTATATGCTAGAAACTTGTGTTATACAAAGACATAGTTTGTTAAATTTATATTTGTTGAATATCATATTATTTTATATTATTTTATTTAATATAACCAATAATGCGGCATTTGTTGTTTTTGTTGTTTTAAAATCATTATCAATCATGTCAAATGTTTTCTCTACTTCTCCAAATCACTTATATTGTGACTAATTTGCTTAAATAATCTTGTAAAGTTTTTAATATCTTTCAAAATTCTAAATAAATAATAAAAAATTCAATCTAAAACTTCTTTATATGGTAATTTTTTAGTTTATTTTTTAAATAACATTAAACTATTGCCAAAATCTAAGCTTGATTTTTTCGTTACTATTTATATTTATTCAACTTAAGACACTTATATTCTACTTACAACATCAATCATTTTGGCACTTAAATAAAATTCTAAATCTTATATATCTTAGAATACATATACTTTTAAAGTTTCATAAATTATTTAAGATAGTTTTAATATTTATTTTAATCCTAGGTGTATTGTAGTCTAAATTGCAATTGTAGTCTAAATGTATACTTTTAAATATAATATAAGTTATTAAAATATTATTAAATATATGCTAATTTTAGTATTATATCTGGTATTTGGATAGCTTTTCTTTCATATTATTGCTTGAATAAGTTATAAGCTTATATAAATATAGGATTAATATTGCAATTTAGACTAATACTGCATTTAGACTACAATTGTAATATTTATTTTAATCCTAGGCATATCAAGTCCTAATTTATATTCTAATAATTATTTTATATGATCTTTACTAAAAATAATTGTGGAATTCTTTTTCCATTTTGATGTCTAAAACCTTTACTAATAAAAATTTAATTTAATATCAATTGGCATTTACCAACTTAATCTTTTTCAAATCCATTATCACTTTTGTTGCTTCTAAAATAATATAAAAATAAGCTTTTTATCATGAAAGAAAAAAAGATATTGATTTATTATTACTTGCAACATAACTATATAAAACACTACATATAAAACCAACTATCCTAAAATTACATATTTGATTGATTAAAACTAAAATTATAAAAAACTGGAATGTGGCTTGATTTTTTAGAATAGAAAATACTATTTAAAACATCTCAATTCCTCAAAAGAATCAAAAGCCAAGAAGAGTATTTAAAAGAGAATTTAAAAAAAAAAACACATTATTGATTTAACCAAATATTTTATTGTTTTATTTCCATATATATATATATATATATATATATTTCTTGTTGAATTGCCTTTTCACTTATTCCAATCGTGTCTAGCAACCATAAATAGCCATTAACCTTGTGCTAAGAAAATCAAAACAAATAAACAAATTATCATCCAGATTGTAACCAACCTTATAATCCAACAATTCAATGCAAATTCAAGTATTAGCACCAACCCATTAATGAAACCACCACAGATCATCTGTAGCCATGCGAGTACAATCTTCATAGATGAGAGCACTTGGGTACTTCTGCTTCTGTCTCATAAAAATGGAGCTCCTCATTAGTAATTTCCATTGAAATAAAAACTTAAGATTCGACAATGGAATCAGCAATGGTAACCCCAAGGAAAATGTTCCGAGCACTAGAAGTGCCCAGGACTTCCAAAGGTGGTGACAAAATACATGAGAGATAAATAAGGGTGTCATGTCCAGTGTGTGAAATGAAGCTAAGTTGATCATGAATACAATCGATTCCTTGCTGCAAAACTGAGAAAATGCTGTGGGGCTGATTAGTTGTTAGGAAAAAGTGGAGGTTACAGGGTGAAATTGTCTCAAGTACTTAGTGTCCACGCCATCTTCACGTAAAAGTGCTACTCGTCCTGTTCTAGCCACCTGTAGCATCAAATTCAAAAAAGTTCATTGACGAAGGGAAGCAACCATAACATTTAATTGAGGTAATCCAGCCATGGAGGGGGAAAGAATGCTAAGTATGAGAGACGTGTTCTGCAGGTGGGTAGTTTGTCATTCTTACCTCGAGGATGCCAAAAGGTTCTAGCAAACGCTGCAATGCCGCCATTTTCTCAAGGTCACCTGTCAGATTAGACACACAACAGCACAAGCACATCATGCGTAATTAGATCAAGTAGAGGAGAATCTATCCAGTTTAGGAAAACTGGACTACCAGTGCTTCAAGTCAACATTGTCGAGGGGAATACCTCGAGAGTTATGGTGCGGTTGGAGAGATTGACAGGCTTGGCACGGAAAATAGCGGCCACGTCCAGGACCTCACGGCGGACGGCAGATGTGGTAGCAACCCTGATAAGCATCAGCTCCCTTTCTGAAAAGGACTGATGTGTAATATCTTGTACCTGTTTACACATTGATAAATCAATCATAATTTCAAAATAAAGTGTCCACATTTATATAGTGCATTTCTGTAACAAGCAGGTAAAAATAGTACAAAAGACCATAAAATCTGTATCATCAAACACATCTAAATGCTAAATTTTAAGGAATGCTGAGCATCCAAACTAAGATAAATGATGAAGAAGGCATCATAATCACATTTCTGCGGTACTAAGGAGTTTGAGAAGATGGGTGATAAACTTCAGCATTGACTAACCGCAAGAACATCAATGAGTTTCGAAAGTTGACTCAGTAGTTTCTTTATAGATTCATCGGTAGCCGGGATTACTGTCAAAATTCGTGAGGTTCCTGGAGTCTCAGCTGGACCAACTTCTAAACTCTGTATAGATGAGTGAAAACAATCAATAACCAGTCATCCTACCGAAAATTATGAGAGTACTTCCAATCACATATATATGTAACTGGAGCGAGTTTTGACAGTTGCAAGAATATCTTATATTAGTTAGCAGATTTGTTGCGTTTAGTCTTGGGTTTGAAAGCGGGTTGAAAACAGATCAATGTAACGGGCAAGCCGATAAACAAAGACAAAGTAAACAATACAGCTTGATTGACATCCAAGTGTTCAAACTATAATTTACTCTCGCCATGGAAGCACAAGCAGCACTCACAACACCTACCTGAATGTTGTATCCTCGCCCTGCAAAAATTCCTGTTACTCTGTTAAGCACCCCGGGTGCATCATTTACCAAAATTGCGAGCGTGTGGGAGATAAAGCCGCTAGGCTGACAGTATACCAAAACAGAAACCTTCCAACTCAGTATATGTCATTGAGAAACATAGTTTCAAGTATAAAATGGAAACATGAACATTCATTCAAATAAGTAGAGTTTATCATCAGGTAATTAATGTTGAGATTGAATGACTGCATAGCATATATCCGTCATCGGGAACATAGATTTATCATGAAGGAATTTCTCAAGAACATCATATCATATTGAATTCCTTATCGCAATATAAGAATGAATTGACTTGTTACATGAGATTTTAAGACCACTCATCGAGTTAGCTGAATACGAAATGTAGAATTCGTCCCACAAAAGCTCACTGTTCTTATTATTCGACAGAGAAGTATTTAAGGATGGAGTGTTGTCTACCCTGGGATTTGTGTCTCCGCTGTATGAAGAATATAGGGTGAGGCGTTTCATCTACCTGATGACAGATTGGTGTTCTACATTTTCCTTAGATAAGTGGCTTGTGGGTGTGATCAGTCAAGGAAGATATAGGTACTCTAGAAAGTTCCTGGTAGTGCAAAAATCACCTTGCCTGTACGGGCTATCTCCTGGATTCCAAACTTGCTCATTGTGGCTTGAATAGCAGTAATCTTACCTGGGTCACCTATCACCTGCAATCCATCACGAGAGTAAATGATAATGATTGATGTGTAAATGACGTTGATTGGTTGGGTACTAGCTACAGTGAGAGTTATAAAAATATACAACCACCTGGTACATGGTTCAAAATGATCGCTGAGTCGTTCTGCAAGGCTTTGAAGTGGTAAATAAATTTCATGAGAAGGAAAGGATGATAGGAGAACAGCTACCTCGATGGTGAGCGAATGCTCCGCCACATCCACAATTCGAGCTCGGAAAAATTTCAACCGATCCAAGAACCTGAGACCCAATACACTATGTCAAATAACTGTCAAAGGAGAAGAATCATTTTAAAATGTAACCAAATACACCGAAACTGGTCAAAATGTCTACTAAGAAGTTGCTATGCTCACTGTATAAGGCATTGACTATAAGGGTATCTTACCAGCACGTTGGTTAATGATATCTATATACACCAAAAATGCTCTACAATCACTATCCGATTCACTGACAAAATCCAAAGTCAAGAATAATTAATAGTATTTTTTTCACAAAAAACATGCTGTTCCATAGGAAAAGAATATGCGTACCTCAGCTCGCTGTTCAGGACTAACATTCACCTTCAATAACATGAGCTCTCGCTGCACACGTGCCTCCTTCGATAAGTCGCCCACCTGCAAACGTACAATCCATAAATCAATAAAGGACGATCGTAAAGAGAATAATAAAGATAAATGCACGAATGGATGACAGAAAAACTTATAGTTGGAAACAAATAACCCTAGAGAATGTTGATTGATGCGAATCGCTTATACCCATGTGAACAACTGAGGAAGAGTTTTACACCTGGTTGACGTTGACAAGCTTTTAGAGCTGTTTCATGACTTGTTGCGGGACACGATTAGTTCCAAAGACAACAATCGTAAAAAGAGCCTTGTCTTTATTCAGACCTACGTCCAGAGATTCAATGTTGTATCCACACCGAGCAATAACTCCAGTAATTCTGTTGATCATTCTGCTCGCATCACCAACGAACACTGAGATAGTGTATCTGCGTATCCTGTTGGAAGATACAATCCTTCAGTGCAGCAAAAACTATGTGCATCCTGGACAATAACTGGACTTGAAGGGGTGCATCCTATTATGTATCTGCACAGAAAATTCTACCTGACATTCTATTCAGTGTTTTTCTTGTTTCTTCTAGCCTGCTTTTTGTGTTTCTAAAATGTTCAAATTCTGTGTTGCGGCCTGGTTTAGGGTTAGCATTCTTGGGCTTAGATTATGGATGACAGAACCTTCTCATAGTGTGTCAATTGATTTTTAATATGCTTTTACAGTACTCGTTTCATATCGAAATCAAATGATTTGTTTCTCTTAATTGACAACTCTAAACGCCCTGGTGAGATTCGTATGGTCAAGTAGCCAATCGCTTATCAACAAACAGAATACGCTCCATTCCTCAAATCATAGCTTGGAAGTCATATTTTTCGGCATGTCCAATCTCTGCAGGAGTAAATGCCATATCTAGGGGACTTCAGATTGAATTTGAAACTTGCGATTCTTCTTTGATGTTCCTCAACTAAGAAGCTTTGCAGATCATTTGCTACCTTTATAAGCTCTCAGAATGGAACGGTAGGTTGACAACCGACGTAAGGTTCAATATCGGTGAAAGGCATCATTGCATATGACTTGTAAGGTGTGGTCATCGGTACAATGCATATACGATGTTTAAATATGATTGCCATGAGACATGCAACTACTGAGGGTTGATCAGAAAGGGATCGACATCTTCTTCCCGAGGAGGTTTTGTGCCAAAAGAATTGTCCGGTTAGACAAAGCCGGCCAAGGACTTAGGAGAGATTCAGAGAGCGGAAAATCTTTTGCGTTCTGGTATGTTGCCTCTATTTATCATCCTTAAAATTTCACTTAATTCGACATCCTTTTAGATATCTCGGATATGCTACATAATGTGCCATTCAATCGATTTTGATAGCAGTTTAGGGTACTACTATATGGTCTTGGTGACCTCGTCCAGTTTTTATGACTGTCTCAATGTTTTTACTCCAACTTTTACATCTTATTCAAATTTGGTTAGTAGTAGCAATCTTTATATGATCAACTTGATTCAATATTAGGAACGAATTGTGTACTTTCTTCATTGGCTTGGATACAGTACTCTTTGAAGATGCATAACATTCTTCTTCTATGGGAGTCACAAAACTAGTCTGTTATGGTATTGTAAAACAAATTCTTCAAAATCAAGTGCAGCGGTTTCTGTTTTTGCTAGATAGTGTCAGGTCTCTCCCCTGATATCGCTTCTGTAGCTGAACTTTGTGATGAATGGATGGCTGCCATTGATGCCCTTTGTGAGATATTGATTTTAGGATTAGAATGCACGGGATCATCCTAAGGTAGTATGTTACTTCTGCTAGGACACAGAGCAAGCTCTATGGATGCAGAAGTGCTTGCCTGTATTCTGTTGATTTAAACTTGATTTCAATGAAATAGACGGTTGGTGTTCAAGGTTTAGTTGAATTCACAATTGATTGCCTCGTTTTCCTACTCATCCGTCGTAACAATTTATCTTACTCAATGAACAAGTTTTCATTTAGCAATTGTCTAATTACTATGGTTTGCAGATTTCGTTACTCTCGTGGCCTATGATGATATACTTCCCAGATCCTAGGCAGTGGTTTGGATGGCTATTACATTAGGTATGAGAGAGCTGTTGTTATAATTTTCAGCTGCTTATTTCCCGAGGAATTGGAAGATAATGACCGTGCAAGTCTGGAATGAATTTATCTTTCTGGCATCTAAATTCTAGCATAGACATTTCTGTGCTGATACATATTAGGATGCACCCTATTGCCTACTTTACTTCTCTTTCTGCTATGATCTTTTGAGATGTTGTTTATTAATGCATTCACTAATGGATTAAGAAAGCCTTCAAAACTGTGTTTTACAGGAGAGTCTCCTCAGGTCTATTTTCAATCTTGCAGTTTCGATCTACTATAGTGGGGGATTGTTTCCTAGAGAAAAGTACAGTGATTGGTTTATAAATGTTTTTAGTTAGCGTGGACAAAAGAATTTCTTCCTGCTTGTTGTATTATTTAGAAAAGTAAATCGAAGGCTTCCACGTGTGTCGTGCATCTAGGTTATTTGCTGACGAAGGTTGCTTTCGTTCCATTTTTAGGCTTTAGCTTGCATCATTAGTTTATCAGCCATTATACTGGCTGGTAGATTGATTGTTGCGTCGAGGTGGGAATTTCGAACACGAATCCACCCGCAAGTCTGGGAATGAAGTAGCAGCTGCCTGGGATGGGCTCTGGTCTAAGGACAGAGAGCGAGTCCTTGTCTTTAGTGCTATAAATCGGCCATTTGACTTGGATGATGCTGTGACACGCAGATTACCAACGAGGTAAAAGCTCCCTTCTATCATCAGAATATCAATTAAAAGTCATAGACGAAATGCAGGAAATATGAATGTGTTTCTCTGACACAAGCATCTATCCTGTGCACGGGTGTAATTCGACAGAAGCAATAGATTCTAATCAACTATGAAGCAGGAAACTTGTATAGTTGCCAAGAATAAAAAACAGGGAAGATCTCAATTGTTACATTGACTGAAGGACACCTTGTAGAAGGGTTTGATTTTGTTCCGCATTACTAATAGTTATGCTGGAAGTGATCTCAACGTACTTCAAAGCTTTTACCCTTTATGTACATTAATGTCATCTATAATATTTTGTTGTACTCATGTGACTTGTCCAAGTCCGTTTCTTCATTTCCCCTTGTTCGAGTCGATTACGTGTCCACTTCTTTTTGTTGATACTTGTGTGGTTTGATTGCCACCACTTGAATGGTTTTCAACTATATCCTTCATTAATATTTGGTTTTTGGCAATTTCTCTGGCGTTTCAAAATCTTTCCATAGCTGCAGCGTATCGTCCTGTGAGAAAGCGCTTACACCATGAACACGAGGTATCAACTGTCTCTGTAATCACATTTTCTCTTTGCCTTTGGCAAGCTTGGGAAATGGTTTTGGTTGGCATGGCCAGACCAGATGTGATTTGTTGTGGATGCATTGCACATGTGAAGATGGTTTTTATTGCAGCAAGTCATGGGGACAGTAGTACTGCTGTCTGCAGTTGCAACTGCATTGGTCCACCTGTAAAGATTTTATCTCATATCCCTTGATAAATTGTTATGTATATCCATGCTTTGAAATTGCAGTCTTTTGTGTGGGGATTTAACCCAGTGCAGCCCAATTGAATTCTATCTCTACTGCATATTTTTGGGGAAATCTTTCTCTTAGTGTCAAACTTGTGAACCAGCAAGCTAGCATTTTGAAGAGGAGAGTATGCAGGGATTCATTCAATCTAGAAGTGGTCTAAATTCTAAATGTGAAGTAGCTTGTACATGAAACCCATACATGAAACCCATACATGAAATACCTTCTGTTCTAGTGTACAAGCAAGTACTTAGATAGTGGTACAGAAACAAGCTCTAGGCTCAAGCACTTGGCATATCAGCCAGGTTGATTGTTGAGCAGTTGGTGTGGTACTCATCTTTTGAGGTCTCACTATCACACTGTGCCTCCATGTGTTAAACTTAACCAGGGACTACTTAGTGCTATGTAGTCATGAAAAGTAAGGTTTTAGTTGTGGTGACTTGCAATCTAGATATTTGACAGCAGAAAAAGTTAGCATGTCAATTGATGTTGCAAGTGTCTTGTTGTCATCTTTTATTCTTCTACTTTTTTTTTTGTTTGACAGTAGATACATTGTAAACCTTATTGGTTCTCCATATGCTCAGAGAAAAAACTTCTGAATTGACATGAAATGTCCAGAAACTGTCATGCAAGGGATGCCTAGAAATTGGTGTCAGGAGAGGTTTTGAGTTAACTCCTGAACCAGGACAAAAGAGCGCTACAGTTCATGTGATACTGTCTGGTAGAAGTTGCCAGGGATGGCCTCTGAACTAGGATGTGTATTGTGACAGACTTTCATTCAACAGAAAGGAAAAAACAAAAAGCAAATGTACATAAGGAAATATGGTTAAACAACATATGCTTGAAAATGGTACGTGCACTTTCCAACATCATCCACAGATGCCACAGTCAAAAAATTAAGGAAAATTCAACATTATGGTACTGGGACCAGGAGTTTATCACAATTTTAATGAACAGAAATAGAAGTCTATTTGGGTAAAGCAGTCCCTCAGTGACATTATTTTGGCATGTTAGGAATAGATCATGAGCCCTTCATTGCAGTAAGCCATGTTCAGATAGGCATGAAAACAAGGAACCGAGATGAGGTTAATAGCTAACAACACTCATATAGCATGGAAAATCAAGAAATTTTTGGGTTAGTAGCAAAAGTGGATTATTCTTCAGCTGGAGAAAACCCTAAACAGTCCCACGGGTGTGGAGTTTGTAATTGTGGTGAGCTCACAACAATACAAATCGCGGTGAATGGTGAAGAGGTTTGTGTGGCTGATAGGACTCAGGTTGCAGAGAGCTTAACTGGTGGGGAAGGGAGGGTGGCAGAGCTCTGGGAATGTCCCAGAGTATAAACTTGCAGGAGTATATGCTTCAAGGTATAGTTCTCGGCTGCTTTTTGGAGGCTACAAAGCAGTCTACTGTAGTCTATTCGTCTCGTTACTGGCCCACTAAACAATCCCAGTGTGCGGAGAACTCTGAGACTGATGATCCTGATACTCCCCCAACTGCCCTCCCCCAAAAATATCACTCTGTTCCGTGCTTTTTTGCCTCATCTCACTCAAGAACCGAATTCTTGCTCTGTCAACTGGAATAATTAGTAAGGAAGCTCACTATTCGCAAGCTTTCAAGGTAAGTTACTTGCACATCACCTAAGTGAATCTGCAGTACAGTAATGCTGGTCCACCCATTCATTTTACATATATATCTATCCAAAGAAAGAGTAAAAACATCAGTGCTACCGTGCGTTTGACACGAAAACAATAACATATAGACCTGCTCTGATAGGATCTCTATAGTTTGTAGGGCACTAGATATCACAGTAAGAATACACAAGTGAATTCAGAACTGGGTTATCCTGGTGTTACACGAAAACGTTGGAGAGTGGGTACAAGGGTAAATTGACAAACTATGTTGTTACTCTGTGCATGTTAAACAAGAAGAGTCACAAAAAGATGGTTTGGTTCTTGGAAAGCTTTGACGGTGAGAAGATGTGGGTCCAGGTTACGAATACTATCCAGAGGGTATGACTGAACTGAAGTTGCAGGATGCACAGAGAGGGGAGTTTGGGGAAAAAGGTGCTGTGCCTCAAAAGAGGAAGCAGAAAGGAGGAGGCGAATCAAAAGGAGCTACGTGAAGATGCTGAAGCATGATGCTGTGGCATGATGCCATTTGGCTCACTGCCGAAGTGCCGTCGCGAATATGCCACTCCTTCATGCTTCTACCACTGCTTCTAATTCTCACGAACGAAATCATCGCTTCCGAGCTTCCCACCGAGCAAACCACAGTCTCCTGCTGGCGTTCTCATCGCAAAAACCATACTCCGGAAATATCCTTCTTCTTCTTCATACAGAAAAATTAAAATTAAAACACAATTCACCATATCTTGCAACAACAGAATTCATCTACATGGTATTCATGCCTGTGGAGTACCGCTGCGCCAAAGGCTGTGTCTCCTCTCGATCCGCCATGGTGGTTCCAACCAGAGATCAATCATCATGCACAGGAAGCACTCACAGGGTAAAAGAATCTGAAGAGTTTATTAAAATTGGCAGCACCGCTAGTCAGATGACGTGAATGACTCCCAGGTACAAACGAGAAAAAAAACCCGATCTCAGAGGCGGAGTAAGAGTGAGATCATCGACGTGGGGTGCGGGGAAAGAGATCAACCTCAGTGAAGAATGATGCTTTTTGGAGATACTTCAAACTATGATTTGCATTGCTCAGTTGTACCGCCCTGAGCACACCGCTACTTAAGCATAACGACCACCGGGTACCCATTCACTCAGTCTGCCTGCATGTCTGTTGTACAGTTTCAAGCCTACCACAGGATACTGAGATGAGAGAAGTGAGGGACCTGTTGCAATAGATTCCAGTATATTGCCCAGAAATTCGAGTGAGGTCTTGTATAGAGCTGATTGTATTTGAGTTTGGTCGAGATCGACGAGTAATTCTTTTCTCTTCTTTCTTTTTTTTGACGGTGAAATCCGCTGTGAGTTGCGGTATTTAGGAGCAGCGATGGTTTGGCCAGTGGATGTAGTTCAGGGGATCAGCCAGGACGTGCATTGCCTGGCATCTATTCTGCTCCGAGGCAATGGGGGGAAATCTCATAAAGAACGATTGGATTTCTTCTATGCCCCTCAAGCTCACGCCTGTGAGTATCAGACCCGCATTCTCACTTCATTCCAGTTGGCTTACATGAATTTCATAGCAAAAGTTTGTCTCGATCCTTCGATTGCTGGAAGAAGAATTGAATGCTATGGCGAGAAGGTCTTTTGTAGAGTTTTCCATGTGGAGGGTTGAAGTAGCGGTGTTTGAGGATTGATGGTTTGCTTTATCGACTATCCCGTTGGATTGCTCACAGATGACAGGTTTCGAGCCAACTTCTTGCACGGGCGCCAGCCAATGCTGGCGGCCTGCGCAGCGCGTCTGCGGGGTTCCCAGGGCTTGGTGTGGGTGGACATGGGAGGAGGCACGGCCGAGAACGTGGATATGATGTCGCATACCCTTGATCTCTCTGTTTTCCAAAAAATTTACGTCGTGGATATCTGCTCGGCCTTGTGCGAGGTCGCACGCCAGAAAGTGAAAAACAGAGGGTGGAAAAATGTGGAAATCGTCGAGGCTGACGCGTGCACCTTCACGCCGGAGGACCCTGCCACGCTCATCACTTTTTCATACTCTCTTACAAGTAAGCCAATTGGTTTACTTGACAATTATTAGCTCGGACGAGCCAATCGATATGTTCACTTAAACCCACAGAGGTTGTCTCTGTTCGAAATGTGAGTAATGGCTGTCCTGAAAAAGCGTTTGCCGAGTGAGTTCCAGCTCTCATTGGTTTGCTTTTGCTGGCAGTGATTCCCGATTTCATGGCCGCGATAGACAATGCAGTCCAACATCTGGCAGAGGATGGCATTGTAGGCGTGTCAGATTTCTTCACCTCTGCCAAGTACGACCTCCCAAATCGACAGCACTCTTACATTCAGCGCTGGTTCTGGCGTGGTCTGTTCGATGTCGACGGCATTGGTGAGTTTGTTAATTTCCGCCTTGGACTCACAGTTCTGAAGTTTGATGATCTCAATTTTGGAGAAATCCCAGCAAAAAAAAGGGATTTGGTGAGCAAAATTTGAAAGAATGATTGAAATCGGCTTGTGATCGGTTGCAGACTTGGGTCCTGAGCGGCGTCTCTACTTAGAGCACCAACTTGAGCCAGTTTACGAATACAACGCGCTTGGGAAGATTCCCTACTTGCCATTCGTGCAAGCTCCATACTACCAGTGGATCGGGAGACGACGAGGTCATACAAGTAGGGGTTCAACCTTCCCTGACGTGCTGTGAATTGATCAACTCAGCTTTTCAACCTACGCTGTCCCAATTCACTGCTGATATGAATTTTCTTGTGGGTTGCAGAGAAAAACTTAGCTCGATTTCCTGCGCGAGCTTCGGACGAGTTCGAAGCGAAAAGGCCACCGGCTTTTCCACCAACCTTCCTGTACTCTCTGTCATGGGAAGACCCTCGTGAGGACGACAAGGTTCTGAACATCAACAAGGACGATACAGTCTTGACGCTCACCTCCGGCGGTTGCAACGCCTTGGACCTCGTTTACCAGGTAAATTTGGACTTCCTGAATGCCAACTTGAGCTATATTTGCTCAATTTCCTGAGGATGCAAGAAGTAAACGGAAACTCCTGGTTCTCATGCCTTAGTTGTGTTCTAATTTCTTCTTTTTTTCCTTTTCTGCGTCACCAGGGCGCACGTCAAGTCGTGGCCGTGGATATTAATCCAGCCCAGAGCTACTTGTTGGAGCTCAAGAGGATCGCCGTTATCAGGTACCGCATACAATCTCCACACACCGCTGATGTTTCTGAAGTTTGAAGTAGCGTATCTTTTCAATCAGAATGCAGCAATTATGGGATAACTGCTACTCTGTAATGATGTTTTTTGGGGTTGATGCCGTAGATTGCCGTTCGAAGATGTATGGTCAATGTTCGGAGATGGAGTGCACCCCAAATTCGAGAAGCTTTTTAAGGAGGAATTGACCCCCTTCTTGAGTCAAGGAGCTGTGAACTTCTGGACTAGAAAGAGCCATTACTTCAGAAACGGCTTGTACTATCACGGTGGAATGGGAAGGCTCATCCGTGCTGTTCGGGCGCTTGCAAGAATCACTCGTCAAGTAAATGTGTTGATAAGAGCTTCCAATGTCAATCACGATATCTATCACTTAATGCTGCGTGACTTATACATTGCCTCATGAAATTTTGTGCCCTTACCAAGATTATTTGCGACTTTGATGTGCAGCAACACTGGATTGATAACCTTGTGAACGCACCCACTCTAGAAATGCAGAAAGAGCTCTGGTAAATTCAGTTCTACCAATACATCTTGAATGAAAAATGTCTGTGAGGTGCTCGATTCTCAGTACTTGGTTTAGACCCACCCGCTTGTAATGCCAACTGAGTGCAATGGAACTTAGATACGGCTGACAATTGTGTGTTCCAGGTTCGCCACCGTGGGAAAATGGCTATTGCGCGCCAACATCGTGACACGCATTTCAGCCTTCTTTGTAACCAACCCAATCGTGCTCTGGTTCTGTGCTGGTGTTTGCAAGGGTCAGCTGAACCTCATTCGCAAGGAGGATAGTATATACAAGTGAGTTTCCATTAAGCTGTCGCAATGTGGGATCATATCTTTTGACTTCGCTTGAATTTTAGTAGCTCACTATCTGACCGCAATGAAACCTGTAATCCAATATTGAGAGCCATTTTTATTCTTGTCTGTGCAGTTACGTTGTGCGATGCTTGAACTCCACGGCTGAATGCTCGCATCTACGTGACAGGTAATTTAAACTTGAGGAAATGGACCCATTTGGATTCATATTCTTTTAGAGCGTGGATTACCAAAGTTTCACATTATGATGTCAGCATTGTACAAATCTTCGCAAGCCTCTAACTGAGTCCTCTTTTGCAGCAATTATTTCTACCGATGCTGTTTAACGGGGAAGTTTTCAAGAAACTGCTGTCCCCGCTTTCTTGAAGAAGAAGTATTTAAGACGCTGAAGGTACTAATCTCTAGCATCCCCTGCTCAGATTCCCTCTGCAATCAAATTTGATTGCCAGTGTGTATGTTGTGGATTAAGACACGTCCTTTTGGTGTGTTGATGATCTGGGCTGTGTTTTTTTTGAGGATGCTGAGAGGCATATGGACGCTTTCAACTCACTGATGATTTCCTCAGGTTGATCTGGCATCTGATGAACGTCTACTGATTCGCACAACTGCTTTCGTTGAGGAATTGAGAAAGCGCATGTACACGAAGGTAAAATAAAAGATAAAGAATGCTGTTATTACTCTAAATCCCACAATCCATAACTGACTAATCAGCTCCGTAACAATAGTTAATACCACCTAATTTGCACCTGAGGTTGGTTGTATTTTCTTGCAATTACAACTCTTGTGAGCTCATTTAAATTCTTTTCGTCCAGGTCATATTGATGGACCACGTAGATTGGCTGGAACAAGGCGATATTGACATATTGTGCGCTGCATTGAAGGATCAAGTGAAGGTAATTAACGATTCTCATCTCATCTCAGTCTAGGTCAAGGTGTATTGATTAATTTATACGGCCGAGCCTTCAACTTGCTAATCGCATATTTTTCAATTCATCTTTCTGCAGCCTGGAGGTCGGGTGATTTGGCGCAGTGCATCACGTAGTCCGAAGTACGCGAAATGTATCGAGAAGGCTGGATTTGATGGTGAGGTTCCTCAACCAGAAGTTTATTGGATGTTTTAATATTTTAAGGTATGTTCAGTTGATTATTCTGCTGATCTGTCCCATGAGTTTTCTGAATCAGCGACTGACTAGATTTCGTGAAACATGAACTTGGGCAGTTATTCGCATCACTACCAGCGACCAGTACATGGATCGCGTTAACATGTACGCCAGCTTCTACGTGGGCATTCGTAAAGGTGGACCCAAGATTGAAGAATCAGAGGATATGACGGAGAAGGTTACTCCAGGGTCTCCCAACTGTGTACTCAATGCTTCCAATGCTCTAGAACGGTCGCATCAATAGTTATATTGGATGCTTTCTGGACGGTCATGAAACTATCGTGAAATCGTGTCGGTTTCAGAATTTAGCAATTAACTTCAGCGAACATTTATGTTCTTGAAGAAACGGAACTCTGATTTTGATTTCCTTTGGAGTGAATTTTTTTCGGACCTAGAGTAGTGGTAACGCTGGCTGCCTGACCTGTGGTACCACGGAATGTGTCTACGATTCCAGTTTTTCGATTCTGTTGACTGTTCGATTCAAATGTGGTAAAGAACACACCACTTGTATTTGTATACTCTCATGAAATATACAGAGGTTTTATCTTTGTGCACATAAGTAAATGCTGACTTAGCTTTACAAACTTCAGTCAAATGTCCACGTTGGGATGTTTTGTTCCTACTCCATAACTTCCAATTTGTCAGTGCCCTAACTTGTGCTCATTGGTCCCCCAGCTTCCCATTAAGATTAGAGAAATACGAGCATGATGAAATAGCGAGACGAGTGTTTAGAATCTTCAAACCTCTCAAGTGTGCCTGGTGTGTAAATCTGATACATTTTCCCGAAGCCGTGAAACAGACAATGCGAGGATGATTGGGGCTTTATATGAGGCTACAGAATTGTTTGAGGGCTTCCTGTTCATGCAGATATAGTATGGAGTTTTTTATGTAGCCATGGGCACGATGTTTAGACATCTGTCCTGCTACCTCCTCCAGAAGTTTTAGGTTGAGGTTGCTGGTTGAGAGTTGCTGTAATCTTGGTAGAAAGCCATTCCATGCGTAGTTGTTTTTGGAATCTGAGACAGCAGGAGGGACATTTATCTTGTGATGTATCCTAAGAAATTTCGGTTTGTTTTTGCGGTTGCTCTAAGCATCAAGTTTGAATACTTGACTTGTTTAGGTATTTTCTTTCATGAGAGGCTTGTGAGTTGCTTTCAATGGCAAGAAACACAGCCCTAGAAGCCTGAGAACATTGCTGAGGTTGTGCATTCGGTGGAGGGGATCCCGTCGCGGGTAGCGAGAATGAGAAGTTGCGGTTGAATTGTTCTTGTTGCAGACATTTGCAGCGACATGTACAAAAAACGAGTGTGAAAAATTGGCGCATGCCGACACGGGAGAGAGCTGTGGACGGGCTTCAATTCCATATGGGCCGGCAGACCTCCACAGGACAGTTGAATCAGCGAGAAACAACCCACAATTTCGGGGAAGTCTAACTGCATTAGAGATCTTCACCACGACTGCACGACACCTACAAGGCGAAAATCTTCACAACTGGTTAGTGAATGGAAGACAACTCTTTAACCTCGGTAACCGACATCCTCAAGAAGATCAACATAAACAAGGTAAGTTAGTTTTCTGATTGCAACAAACAAGTAACGACAACAAAAACAGGAAGTTACAAAACCCTACCTCTAGCAATAGATGTTTCCTGTTTAACCCAGCACGGCCATGGGCCATAGTTTCTAAGCTAGAGGTCCAGACACCAGCAATGAAATGGTGCCAGAATCGAAACGGTGAGAATCCACATACATCCGGCCAGTAGCCTAGTAACACGTGTCAGACACAAATTGTAAAGCACAATTGTGCTTTCAGTTTTAACCCCGGTGGGGATTTTAAGATATCATAGTACCCTCCCATCGTAATGACCGGGCTTCGATTCCCCGGCTGCGCACGGTGTTGGGTTTTTGCCGCGGCAGTGAGCTGTGGACGGGCTTCAATTTTTCATTTTGGTTGCAGAAGACGCTGCACTCCCTCAAGTTCTGTGTGAGGTAGCAAAATGGCAACAAAGAAGGCTCAAGCAGCACTGCTTCTTCCATCGTGTCAGAAGACAAGGATACAGGTCGTGCCCCCGCGTTGTGCCCAATGATATCACGGCCCACACCAATATGGAGGCCCCCAGCGGCCCTATACTCCAGTTTTGAGCACTCCCCGCAAATGCTATGGCTCATCTGCTCAGCGTCCATCCTCACCTCCCCGGCTTCGATCCTGCTGTCTACAGGAAAAAGCAAAGATCAACCAGGAAAAGTTTGAATTTACTTACCCTAAACTCAGGCCAACCAAATGAAACGCCCAAGGCGTCGAAGTGTGTTCCGAATGCCTTGGCCTTGTCAACATCGTTCTTAAGAAAATAAGCTAATTACGTTGACAGAATCATCACACGACTGTACAAACTGTAATTCAGTCAGGTGACCTGCCACATATCAAACTTTGGTGTTCAGACTCTGCACATGATGAGGAACAAATTAACCCCAGAAAGCTACCACTTCGCCACTTCTCTCTTCAGTCTATTGTAACTACAACTAAGAATCCGATTATGTGTTTTTTTCGTATCTGTCGAGTCTTCAGCATATTCCTACTCAAATATTTGAGCTTTCCTTCTTTTTTGTGATCACTAACAGTTTGAAAAACTGTGAATGAATTCAATGATGGGCCATACCTTCGGCGTTCACCGAAAAAATAATTTGCTATCTCCGAGTCAGAATCCTGAAAGTTCCTATTTATGTCATCAATAATAATTTATATTATATCTATTGATTACATAAATAGAGATAATTCAGGCTTAACAATTTTATCAAAAACTCTTACGTGAGCCAGAAACAATTAAAACAAATCAACAACAGGAAGAAATTATCATTGAACACAGCAAAGATATCTACAAGATATGACAAAAATCATCTAAAAATAACAGTCGGGTATACAGGAAAATTTGATGCAGAGTAGTGATATTCACCAATTCAAACAACTCCACTTCCTTGTCTATTGGCCAATTATTTCAAATAAAACCTAATAATTTATTCAGGATTTATGGACAATTAGAAACTGGTGAAAAGAAAAGTATATGACATGCTCTAGTTCAAAAGACGTTATTGAATTAAATATTTTTACGTTGTAATTCTAGCTTTAAATATTCTAAAAACTATAAATAAATAAATAAATAAATAGAGTTTATAGATTTTTTCATTTAAATAGAGCTTAAAAATAATGGCTAATATTTTAAAATTAAAGTCTCTATTTATGTAATTAATAGTAATTTATAATGTATATATTTTTTCTATAAAATCAAGAATTAATCTTTACCTACAAAAATATTATACATTAAGAAATTAAAAAAATCTTGTTTTTTTAAAACTATATTAAAAAATAAATATTATTTTTAATTATAATTTTAGTAAAGAACATTGTGGTTTAACTTGGCTATTTGTGTGTGAAGTAGTTTTCAAAAGAAATAAAAGTAGTCAAAGTCTTAAGAAAAATATTTACTTTTCAAATAGAACTTGTAGTAATAAATTATTTTTAAAAGTCATCTTAAATATTAAAAAAATCTTGTCTAAATCACATTGAAAAATCCATTCTTACTTAATTAATTTTTTAAAATTTAAAATTAAATATAAAAGAATAATGGCATGACAAAAGATTTTTTCATGTAGTTGCAAAAAGATTATAAATACCCTTTAAAGTTTTTTTAAAAAAATAGAAAAAATAATTAAATTCAAATATATATATATATATATATATATATATTTTTTTTGATTAAATAAGCCTATTAAAAATGAGAATTTATAATTTGCATCTTTCTTTATATTAGATAAGAAACAAAATCATCTAATAATATTTTTATTTAGTTTTATAAATATTTTATATTTTATTATAATTTGGTAATAATTTCTATTATATATTTAGGTATGAAATTTAGATATTTTAATTTTGATGATAATTAAAAGGACTATATTACCTATATTAACTAATTAATAAATTCTTAAAACATATTTTATATTTTATCATGTAATCAAACTCTAAATTTAATATGTTTCAAAAGTTATATAAAATCATAGAAATTTTCTTGTATTAAATTTTATAGTTATAAGTTTAATTCTATATCTTTATATATTACTAGATATTTTATTTTTAGCCAAAAAATAACCAAATAAAATATATTTCTAAAATTGAACATACAAGTAATAATATCTATACATTATATTAATTCTTTTCTAGATCTATTTGTAGTTTTTAAATAATTTAAATATAATTATATTTTTTTAAGTATTATATAAGTACTAAATTTATATTGCATCTTATAATGTCTTATGTATATAAAATTAATAATCTTAGAATATTAATAGAATAAAAAGAAAAAAATAAAAATATATAAATAAAAAGGTATTAGATAAAAGAAGGAATAAAAGAATTAATCATTGTAGAAATAAAGTTTTAATAAAAATAATTTAAAATAATTATATATTTTTAAAATTTAAAATTTAAAATTTATTTTTAATTTGATTTTATTAATATAATATTAAAAATAAAAACATATTATTGATATAATAATTTGAAGAGGAATTTTTTATATTTTAAAGATCAAGCAATATCAACTTTTAAATACCATTATAATAGATTGAAAAAAGATATTCAAGCTTTGTGAGATGTCTAGACTTAAAATATGTCTTTATATACAACATTGAAGTTAGTTTTGTTAAATAGATCTTTGTAGTAGATAAATTGAATAAGACCAAAATTTAGATAAATCAAGTACATTTTTTGTGAAAGACATAAATTACAATATAATCTTAAAGTGATAATATACTTTAATGTCACTGAATGAAAAAATTTGATAAATAAGAAAATGATATAAAACAAAAAAAATTATAATAACTATTGTCAATTACAAAGAATTTAGAAAATCTTTAATCAAGACTAGATTACAAAAGAAGGTTTTAACAATACCAAAGATAGCCTTCATCTTGTTCAAATGTATTAGCTATCAAGAAAGTCTTATAGAAGCTTTTTAAAAACTGCAAAGCTTTTGGTCCAAATATCATATTATAGGTTGTTTTCAGTAAGACTTTCTAAAAGTAAAAAACTCATAATTTATTTTTAATAGCTATGTGGCATATCTATAAAAGCTTAAATATCTAATTTTTATTTAGAAAATATCTTTGAAGTTTTTTAATAAAAATATTATCCTTTTACTATATTTCTACTTATTTCTAATTATTTATATTTACTTGAATAATATAGAGATTCATTACATTATTCCTTCTTTTAGATGATAAGTTCTATGAAGAGAGGTCTAATTGTTTCATAAGTTGATGAAGTCCAAAATCAATTGAATAGTATTAGGAATAAAGTTTGATCTATCTTTGATAGGTCCTTTTAATCATTGATAATGTTCTATATTAGAACAAAAATACTATTATGTTATTCAATAATTATTAAATTTATAAGTATCTTTAAATTATAAAATTTTCATATCAATAACTATAGTGTCAACTTTTAATATTAGTATTGAGTCTTAAGAGTTTCTTTCAAGATTATTATATCAAATATATTATATCTTTTCATTTATTTAAGAAAAGAAAAGTTTCTTTTAAAAATCTT